GCCCGCAGACGCACAGTGGACGCACGATGGACGCACGGCGCCCGCAGGACGGACGCACCCGCGGGCGCCCGTGGACGCACAGTGGACGCAAGATGCCCGCGTCTTGGACGCGGTTTTTGATAAGTTATTTCTTGGCAGTACTGTACATTTTTGGAAGTTGTTTGAAATTTTTAAATTGGAGACTGTCCATTACTCCATTTATCTATGGAATTATGACAATATGGTAACCTTGACAGTTCAGAAAGCGTTACTAATAGTGTGCTGTTAGATGGAGTAAGTACTATAAATAACCAGTTTGAGTAAGCGTGATTGCACGCTTGCACAATAGTTGATTAATATGTTTCATGATGGTTTTGGGGACTGTCATCCCCTGTCACTCTCCTTAGCTACCCTGCTTCCTGAAAAATGCAATGTGTGGAATATGCTCAGCCATGCTTTGTGAGATGCAAACATTAAGATATTGTGAGATAATTTTATAATTTTCTGCAGACATTTGATGAGGCAGAGAAAAATCACTGGAGATGTATGGAAAATGAATGGGAACAACAGAAATTAAAAATCTTGAATTCCTTATTGGGATCAGAACAGGACTCGTTGGATTTATCTGCTGATGTTTTAGTAAGATAATTATTCTAACGCCCATATTCTAAAAGCACACTCAATGAGTAGAGGTTCAATCTGAGCTTCTCTTAAGTGTCAAATGAATGCTGTTTTTTAAATAGCTGGAGGGTGAGTTGTCGCATAGTATAGTACAACACAAACCCTCCAGCTATTCAAAAACAGCATTGACACTCGGGAGAAGCTCAGATTGAATCTCCACTCATTGAGTGTGAGTGTGAGTGAGCATTTAGAATACGGGTGTAAGTCTATGGTGCCAATCTCATTGCTTTGTACTGCTAATAACAGCTGTTGCTGTGTCAATTTTTTAGTATAACAAAATAAAAAAGATGGAATTAAAATTGTATTTTTAGGATGGTACTTTGAATCGTGTCGACCTGTCTCAAAGAAGTGGGCTAGACTTTGTTGAGATGGCTTATGCTAGACAGGTATGAAGAATAAGACATAACAATCCATCATGTTTTATGTCTATATGATTTATACGACAAAATTAAATTAATGATTTTTGTGACAAAATTAAATCCTTTTGTAGTTTTATATGTAAAAGTAGAGCATATTTGCCACTTCAAGGGTTACAAAAACAACATGCAAGTTGTTTATATTTGTTTATTTTAGATTTATATGTACAATGAAGCAATCATCCAAGGCATGGACTTTGATATTGTAGAGGGTTTTCATAATACAGCCAGCAAATTTAATGACCAGGTACCAGTATGAAAGAATAATAATAATATATTAATATATCATGTGGTGTTTCCACAAACAACAAAAGTATATGTTTTATTGCCATGCAAACCTATACAAAGAATAATTATATAATAATAAGTTTGTCATAGTTTACATGTTATTTACATATCAAGTACAAATTTTTACAATACAATAAGCTTACAAAGACAATTAGTTGTAACAGGAGAAAGCGAAAGAACTTAACCCGGCCTAAATGGAACATATGTTATTTATATCAATCTTACTTAATGCTAGACTTCATGATTTTAGCACATCAAAGATTGCTGGACCCTTGTTGACCAAATGACAGATCTTCAAACCCACAGTTCAACAACTTCCTCTGAAACAACCAGGTGCTTATCTTAAGGCCCATTTACACTTGCAATTTTTGCTGTGATTTTCTTCTGACGCATGTGATGAGTTATGATTGTTTTATTGAGTATATGTACCCTCATCAGAAGAAGAAAATTGCACTAAAAATCACAGCAAAAATTGCAAGCGTAAACAAGCCTTTAGAATTATTGCATGCAGTATAATTATTGACTGTTTTCGGTATATGTAGTACGCATAATTCCACTGAAAGTCATACTTGCACTTTGTTATAGATTCTCCACCGATTCTCAAACATTCTTTATACAACAAGCGAGATCATTCTTAGAGAAACGGTAATATAAACGAGAAACTACAGATATGGACTCGTGGTTTGATAAATTACAAAAAAAAATTATAAATGCTAAACTCTAATCGGGATTATAGTCATTATACAGTTACTGTACCAATCAACAGCAGAGCCAATAGACCTTTCCCCTTATGAGTGAAATTTTGATCTAGATATGCCTGGACAAAAATTTCATCGCAGCTTGAAAGAGCATCACAAAATAAGTAATATTCCGAAGTTTCGTTGCGAAATGTTGTAAAATGCGGATAATATAGCCTTGCGAAGTTTGCCGTTTTTCAGTCATTTTGCATTACAAACGGGAAATTGATAATCAGATGATCAAACTGATTATCAATTTCCCATTTGTAATACAAAATGACTGAAAAACGGCAAACTTCGCAAAGCTATATTATCCGCATTTTACAACATTTCGCAACGAAACTTCGGAATATTACTAATTTTGTGATGCTCTTTCAAGCTGTGATGAAATTTTTGTCCAGACTTGTTTACATCAAAATTTCACTCAAAAGAGGAAAGGTCTATTACTGGAATTGTTTTTCAAAATCCTTACTATGGAAATAGTATTGATCTTTGTTGGAAATAGTATAGATAATTTAGTGATGCAATCGCAAATTTCACTATTTTTTCAGTGAATTTTTTTTTTTTGGGGGGGGGGAAATGGTTGAAAATATCACTATCCTGTTGGTAACAATATCTAATTTATAGTCTTTCTCATGAAGGCCAAAATCCGCCATTTTTGGGATACAGTCTGCTCTCGTAAAAGACTGTAGATAGTTTAAACAACGTGAAAAGCTACTTTTAAAAGTTGTATAATACTAAAAAGTCACATTTCGTTGTGCAGAGACTCAAACGTGAGAGAGGCAGTAGATAGTACTAAACCAACCTATAAAAATAATATTACACGAGAGGGTGTTAATTGTATCTTTTAGCATTTTCTCTGCTACGAAACAGTGCTTAACGTTACAGTATATCACGAAGTCCACATTTTCCAATATATATAATAAAAGTACATCTTTGGTCATACATACTGTGTCTAAGTGTCTCAATTTATTTTACTGATTAGATACCAGAAGTACATAGAACGTATAGTCTACAGTAATCTGCAACAAGCACAGTTAGGAGGCGTTCCTGGTGTGTTCTTTCTTGTCAAGAGTTTTCTAAAGTTACGTCCTCTGGTTTCTATATCACACGAACTTGAGGTAAAGGAACTAATTTCCTTCGTCACCAATGGGCACTTTGCATGACACTTAGAGTGACAATCATGTTATCCAATCATGATCCAGTGATGGGCATGTTAGATTGTCTTACTGTACATAATTTAGCCTTCACTAACGCCTTAATTCTAAAAGTTCACTCACACTCACATGCACTCAAAGAGTGGAGGTTCAATCTGGGCTTCCCTTGAGTGTCAGTGCTGGTTTTTGAATAGCTGGAGGGTTAGTGTCGTACCTTACTATATGTGAATACTCACCCTCCAGCTATTCAAAAACTGCACAGACACTCAAGGGAAGCTCAGATTGAACCTCCACTCTTTGAGTGTGAGTGAGCTTTTAGAATACAGGCGTAATAGTTGTTTGAAGTTTGTTTTAAGTTTTAACCTTACAAACGGCTACTGCAACAGTGAGTTTGCCAAAAACAATGTGGTGGATGTTATATAAGGTTGAATTTAGAGTGAGAACAACTTTCACTTTGCAAAAATATTTCGCTTTCTTCCAGCCAGTTTTGGGATTGATGTATTCGATAACTTTGTTGTATTTAGGACGGAGAAGTAGACGGTGTTCCTCTTTGGCCACTCTTGTATTATTGTATCAGATGTGGTGATCTTGATGCTGCTATGCAAGTTGCTCAAATGTCTCCGTACGTACAGTATATTAACCTACACAATTAACATTTTTGGATAACACATATGCCCAGTTACCTTCTATTTGTGTCTCCGGAACAGTTTTCACTCATGACAATCGAAGACATTGTCGTTGTGTATGTTTTTTCTAGATATCATACAACTAAATTTTCACCCATCGCAATCGAATACATTGTCCTTGTACATGTACATGTACATGTACATGTATGCTGTATAATGTTCTAGACATCGTACAACTAAATTTTCACTCATCAAAATTGAATACATTGTCGATTTGTCGTTCTATATGTTTTTTAGACATCATACAACTAAATTGAAGGAGTATTTAGAAGATTATATGCGAAGTGAAGACAAAAGGTTTGCGGTTTGCGCGTTTTGTTTGCTCCATAACTATTCATAATTGATCAGTCTTTTCTGAACATGAAATATTTGAATTTAATTTTCTCAGGTTACACCCGAGTTTAGAAGAAGAATTACGCCTGCAGTATCGACGGTCAGTCAACAATGGTACTGATCCCTTCAAGAGGTAACCCATAATACTTACCATAAAAATATCGAACTATAGCAAAGTACAGGTAGCGATGCCTAATTTTAGCTGGAGACTTGACAAAAAAACACCAATCGCTTACCTTTTAAAAACGGTTTTAGTTTGTTTTTCTTCGATTTTCTGTGCACGAGTGTCCATGTCGGTAAAATAGGAAATAAAGCGACTGGTTTTATTATCGTTACGTCCCGTTCTATATCAAACATTGCCTTAAGCCCTGGGCAAGCGAGGATAAGGGAGGACTTCCACTTGCGGGAGAAATATTTCGCTTGATTTCTTTTGAAATTGTGACCATCGTGTATCCGAGTAAATCAGTAGTTGATCGCTTGCAGTTCGGTAGAACTTGAGCGAAAAAGTTCGACAGCGAAATTTTCCTTGCAAATGGAAATCCAACTTGAGAGTTTACGAGAGAGTCTTGCCACCGTCAAATGAGAACAAGAGTTGATGAAAGTTTCTTGCCACCTTCGAATGAGAACAAGAGTTTCGATATTACCACATGGCATATACCGAAAACGTTCATCAACTTTCACCAAAAATTAGACCAGCTCTAAGTTGACAAGAGTCCATGAGAATTGGCGGCCAAACGCGAGCAGTAGTTCAGGGTCCCCTCGGTCCTTGAAAATCCTGGAAAGTCCTTGAATTTGTTTTAAAAAAATCCAGGCCTGGAAAGTACTTGGAAAATGATAAGGTCCTTGAAAGTCCTGGAATTTTTTTTCAGTAGGCTGGAAATAATTGAAGAATTGTTACCAGCCCAAGGATTATTGCCCAAATGTTTATTTTCTCCAATTTCAATTAAAATTATGTATAACAATTGTCCAAAAGTTGTGTTGCGAAGCTGATTTTCAAAGATTTTTCCAGTTGCCAGGTCCTTGAATATACTGAAAAAGGTCCTTGAAAGTCCTGGAAAAGTCCTTGAATTTCATCTTCACTAAAAGGTGGGGACCCTGGTAGTTGCAACTCTCATCCTTCGGTTTGATCGTCGCTTAAGTTAGCAACAGAGTTAGCTACAGTAAGCTACTGTAAGTCATGCAGTCAACTGTATCTTGGTGCTTGTACCAGTGTATAAATGCCTAAAGTCTTGCCATCCTCTCACTTCTAGAGCGGTGTACACGGTATTGGGACATATTTCGGATGCGGAAGAACTATCTGATGTTATCACAAAGACTGATGATTACCTCTGGCTAAAGGTACGAAAACTGTTGAATACTACCTCCCAAAAGCTCAAAACCAACAATAATTTAATTAATATTTGATTGTTAGTTATGTCAGATCGTTTCAACGGGTGAAAAAAGAGACCACAGTCACAGCACATTGACATTACAGAATTTACAAGTGTTGTTATTGGAGGAGTATGGTAAAGTAACACGATTTTATCTCTCTTGCTATGAACCCATATTTCCGGGGCAATTACTGTATGTCATTCTGGCTATAAAGTGACTGACAGAAAGGGTTTTACTGCAAATCTAAACCCATTTGGTAATTTATATTCTAGGTGAAGCATATTTCAAAGCAGTAGACAATCCTTTGTTGTATTTCCAAGTACTGATGTTATCCGCTCAATTTGAAGCTGTGAGTAAAACCTTGTTGGCTTGTGAGAATCGTCCATAACTACACTGTATCTGTAATGTTATATAATATGATGTTTGTATTTCACTTCAGGCAATCGAGTTCTTGTCTCGTATTGAAACATATCGTAGTCATGCTGTACATTTCGCCATTGTTATGTATTTACGGAAATTACTTATCCTACCTGAAACTGTTCAAGCACAATTATGTAAGTCATGCAAATTAATGCGTTGGATTCGATTCCTGGCGATTATTTTTAGGAGATCATTTGACTTATTCGAACATTCCAAATTATTATTCCTGAGGACAACAAGCACATAATTATTATATACCTTTTCTTTTGAAACTCAGAAAACTTTGAGGTTTTAGGTACTGATGTATTTTGTTCTTTCTGTAGTGACAAAAGATCCCACAGATGCCGGAGTTCGCAAAATGAATTTCGCTCGCCTTATCAAGTCCTACACAAGAAAGTTTGAGATTACCGACCCGAGAGAAGCTTTGCAATATTTTTACCTCTTGAGGTGAGCTTTGGGGTTTTTTAAACAACACCACTCAATTCTGTTTGCCTCTAAGTACATGAATACAACATAATACACCCTTCCGGAAATGACGTCATTTTGACTATAGAGCCTCGTGTATTTGACATACGTTAACATCGCCAGCACGAAAACGAGGTCCTATAACCAAGGTTACATACTTTCCGGAAGAGTGTACAATGATAAAAGTTAACTCTGGTAGAAATAAGAGATAGCCGCTCACTTCGATAACTTCAGGTTGACCACCATCTACACGCGTAAAAATCTTACACCTTGTAGCAAGTCTGCTAACAAGCCGTCAACAAGTTGTGTTCGCACTGCTTGTCTCAAGTTGTCAACAATTTTGGAACAAGCTGTGAACAACTTGTAACACGCTTGATGACATTATCAGACTTGTGGCAAGGTTGTGCTAACATGCAAGTCCGATACAGTCATGATATAACAATATTGTTACAATTTTGTGTCGTTAACCTTGTAACATTCTTGTTATATCATGACTGTATCGGACTTGTTAGAACAACCTTGTAACAAGTCTGACAGTGCCATCAAGCTTGTTACAATTTGTTAACAGCTTGTTCCAAACTTGTTACAACAACTAGGAACAAGCAGTGCGAACACAACTTGTTGACAGCTTGTGAACAGATTTGTAACAACTTGTGCGTTTTTATGTGAAAACTGCACGATAATGCTAGTAAAACCCACTATTGGTGTATAGCTCAGTGATTGGTATTGGTGAAATTTCTGGGATTTACTACAGTCTACAGTATATTATTATTAAACTTTTCAGAAAGTTGAGGAGCCCTCATGGAGAGAATTTGTTCAGTAAATGCGTCAGTGAACTGGTATTGGAGACAAGAGAGGTACTGTATAGTATGAGAGATGGAAATTTAATGTGCATTAGTACAGTACAATTCTCTCGTTACAAAAACTCCCATTTATTGTTGTAATCGATGTCATTATTCTGGCTTTTGGAAACGACTGCTCCTGCCGTATTTCTTACTTATAAACCTAATCGTCTTACAGAGTTACAATACTGTACCTTGTTTATTGATCCAGTCTATATGCTTAGATTATCAGAACAGTGGTAACCAGGCATGTGGACATAAACATCCCTTAGATGATTAGCGGCTTTGTTGGACAGTGAACTATTTTGCATTATTCGGCTCACTCCCAATCAGGGCTTTCCAGTGACCGATTGCGTCAAATATTACGCTTACTTATATTATCTACTTAGCCTAGACTACTGTATTTATCTCTCTCCCTTAGAGTTCAGATCCGTTGTAATACAGTAAGTGTCTTATTTTTCAGTTTGATGTACTGTTAGGTCACATGGAAGCTGATGGCACTCGAAAAGTAAGTTCTCAACCCAATTGTACTCTTAGACTAAGGTACTGTAGGTCTGTATTTGGTTATTCTTGCACGGGGGAGGGAATTAATTGTCACAAATAATTTACATTACTCTTGCACATGTATACCAGTGCGTATTTTAAACGTTTTGTTGTGGTGGGCCACAACCAAGATTAGGACCCAGTGTAGGTTCCCCTACTTCGTAAGGTCCGAGTCTGAGCCACTAACTAGTGGGACCTGCGGGGGCAAATGCCTCCCCCCAGTATATATTATGTTAAGATATTCCTTTTCTTGTACCACTATCCTAAGATTTGTTTTGTACGTATACTAGATGGCTTAGCCTCTGTTATCTGAAAGTATGTTGTTTTGTTTCCGATATAGTTGGGCTGTATAGACAAGTTCCAGGGGGACGTTGAGGATATTATTGAAATGGTCGCAAAAGATACGGAAGAAAAGGGTTTATTTGAAGAAGCTGCTAGATTGTATGATCTGGCAAAGGTAAGACTATGAAAAGAGATCATGAACAGCTACATACCCAGACATTTTATAGATAGAATGTTAACTGATAGTTATTGTTAAGTTGTATTGGCTTATGGATTGAATTTGTTTGCGAATAATTTTTTTTCGATTAAACGTGCGTGGTGTAACATGAGTCGTTCGTAAAAGTAAAACAATTACCTATCTCGCTGTCATACCAACAAAGAACTCGTTAAGGAACATCTTATCATTGTTTTGTAGAACCATGAGAAAACTGTTGAAGTACTCAACAAACTTCTAAGTCAGGTAATATTGTTTGAGAAGACTTACAGTAATGTATTAATGTAATCGACAGTTTGTTTCATGTAGTTGTTTCGAGTTTGACTCTACCAAATACGGTGGATTTTTTCTGGGCATTCCGAAGTCCTCCTGTAGTCAAACAGGACGAATAAGGATGGCCCTTACTGTACCTGTAGGAAGAACAATGTGGAACTGACAGAACTATCCGAGATAAACAAAGATACAATTGAACACATATTAAACGAATATCTTTGGGACTTCACAAATGTGACCGCTTAAAGGAGGTGTCTGCTTAATAGGGGTTGTAATTATAGTGTTTTATTAACGGTGGAACCAGAGTTTGTATACTGTGAAATGGAACCGCTTAAAAACGATGTCCATCTGTTTATAGGGGATCGACCGTACTGTAGTTAAATTTTTAAAGTTTTCTGATATTTATTTCCATTAGTTCCTAACCCAATTCTATTCCATTTATTCAGGTAGTTTCTGCAGCTCCCAGTCCCCACTCAAACAGAGACAGACTAAAGGCACTAGCTTTTTCTGTTGCTGAGAGGTAAGTTAAAACTTATATTGCACATACATACTTCTGACAGCTCACATTCTAACACAGATTCATGAATGTCTTTTTTTTAGATATAAAAGTCAGGGGAATAATGCGTCGCGTGTTCGATCAAATACTTTTTATCTCCTGTGTGATCTTATCCAGTTCTTTGACCTTTACCATCTTAACAAAATGGATGAAGCTTTTGAGGTACAAGGGATGTTAACACCATCATCACCACCACCATTATCATCACTGTCAGTTTCATTACTACTATCATCACTGTCAGTTTCATTACTACTATCATCACTGTCAGTTTCATTACTACTATCATCACTGTCAGTTTCATTACTACTATCATCACTGTCAGTTTCATTACTACTATCATCACTTACCAATACCACCATCATCACCAACACCATCATTACTATCACCGTTGCCACCACCATCACTTAACCATCACCACCATTATTATCACTGTCACCTTCATTACTACCATCACCACTTACCATCACCACTTACCATCACCACTTACCATCACCACTTACCATCACCACTTACCATCACCACCACCACCACCATCATCATTACTATCACTGTTACTACCACCACCGTCACTTACCATCACCACCACCATTATTACCATCACTACTGCTTCCAGTGCCACCACCGTTACCAACAACCAAGAACGTATAGAACCCGACTAACTAACATTGCACATTTTAGGTGATGCGAAAGTTACAACTAGTTCCACTTAGTGGTGAAAGTGTCGATCAAAAGGTCTCATCTTTCAGACAGTACACAGATGAGGTGAGGCAGTTGTGTTTCGTTCGATATTGTTTATGTTAAAATATTTTGAAGTTTCGAGACCTCCTGGTTACTGACTTCATGGTGAAAGACCTTCGCTTTCCAAACGTTCAAATATTTCTGCACGCTTGTCATATTATACTGCTTACACGCGGCGTCCATGTGTAGTATACTGTATATGTATTTGTTCTGGTGCTTTAGATACGAAGATGTCTGCCAGACATACTCATTGCTACGATGACAATTTTGTACAGCAAATACAAAGAAAGAAGGTGAGCAATAATCGAATTTATGGAGATTCAGTAACAAGGAATTTATGAAGATTCAGTACAAGCACTGGTAGAAATCAAATGTCGAGTGCACTGCTTTTATAACAGGGTGAAGTTGAAACATGTACGCCATCCTGGATCCCTGAATCAATTTTCCCCTCCGAAATCAATTATTTATATGGTGTCATGTTTACTTTTTCAGACCTGACTATCCGAGTTCGCCTGCAGTTTTACATCGAGATGAAGGTGGATTACAGGCGGTAGGTTTTGAAATTGAAGAGTGGAAATTTATATACATTTATTACACCTAACCAGGAACAGCTGCGAAAATGTTTACGTCCCTCGCAGGAATCGAACCTGTGGTCTGTGGCCTTGCGATTCAGATGCAACGCTCTAACCAACTGAGCTACATACAGTACTATTTAAAACACGAGCAGGAGTACTTTAGGCCAAAAAAAAAATATGTGGGTTTCCGGTTTCCCGACCCTACCTAGCTTTTGGACGTTGAAACCCCAACCCTAAACTTTTTTATTGGATCATGGTTGTAAGTGTTTCCACTTAGAGAAAAAAGTTTGTTGAAAATTGAAATTTGAGGCAATATTAGGGAAATTTATCTTTGGATGTGGAAGCACTGACTAAACAAAATGGCGTCCGCTTGTTCGGAAAATTAAAAAAAAAAGTTCAAAAAAAAAAGTTAAAACCGACCTACCCTACCTAAGTTTTTATAAGAAGAAACCGGAAACCCACATATTTTTTTTTTTTGCCTTATCAGATATAAAACACGAGAGCATAGCTCGAGTATTTTATATCTGATAAAGCACGGACTGCGAGCATTTTAAGTCGCTTAAAAAATGACCTATCTAAAGAGTTCATTGGCGAAGTAATTTTAAAAATAAACGTTGTCTAAGGGCTTAAACAATATTTAAAGTTATCTAACTTTTGTTTAGGGCTGAAACACGTATTTCAAAAACTCATTAATAATTCAGGAGCAAAACACAAAGAAAAATCATAAGCGTGTCGTGGTTTTATATGTGATAAAACACTCCTCGCATGCTTTAAATAGTACTTCAATTGCTCAAAATACGTCACACTTCATTGAATCCCCGGGTAAGCGGGACCATATAAACAGCCCCTAAGCCGAGAAAATGAAAGTAAAGTTTATGTAAATGAACATGATTTTTTATCACATATAAAACCACCGCAGTGATTCCCTTTGTCTTTTCCTCATAAATTATTAATGAGTTTTTGAAATATAGTTTAATTTTGTTGCTGCAATAAGTCGGGTAACATTAAACATTTTTGTTGGACTTATTTCTTAAACATTTGCGACGTTTATTATGTGATATATTTTATGCTAACTCACAACCTTGCTATCTTTTAAACATTCTATATTTCATTTCTCTCCACAGTTCCGTAAGAATGTTCGCCAGCAAGCCCGAGCTTTGATAACATTCGCCGGTCTTCTGCCATATCGAATGCCTGGTGACACGAGCGCTCGCCTAGTTCAACTGGAAGTGCTGATGAACTGAATAATCCTCGTATTTTCTCGTCGGAGAGCGTCGCCGACCACTCGAGGAATTGTCGTAAATCGTTCGGGTCCGTTGATCTGACTTGATGCCACAGGTAGTACGTACAGTGTTTCGTATCCATGATGACTTCTGTAACTCCGACCAAAATTTTTTTCTGTCAAAATGAATTAGTGTACAAATTTTTTAACATGCTGGCTAGTTAGGGTAAAACAAAAATATTAAATTAATCCCGCTTTTGATTTGATGAAATTTCATTTCAATCTAGTGTTATTAATGCGTAACAATGGTGCTATCATTAACGATCCAGCGGTCTGAATGAGACCCCGTCATGCCATCCAGCCACTCACTGTTTTAACTTGTTTGAACTTTTATGCAATTTATACAAATTATGATAAAGAACTTTGTTATAAAACGCTGTCTTCCACATTGATTATAAGAGGTTTGATAATTGATAGTATTTTCTGGATAAAATTTAAGCCAATTGTTAGCTGTCAGTTCAGCTATTGCATCCTCCGCGGGCAATTCAGTGAAAAACAACGGCGAAATTTACGAAATATTTAGCAGATTGAGGGATGGTGAGGGGTGCGTGGCAGTAACTCTTCACTGCACAATTATCCCTCATGATCCCCTGTTACCCCATTACTTTCCTATAGGAATATGGCAGACTTCTTGATTTTGGCAGACTTCTTGATTTTGCCTATGATTTTGGTACAACCATTGCAATGCTGCCGCTATGTTTCTAGCTAGTGTGCTTATGAGAGGCATTCACCCCCCTGAATATATTCAAAATGGCGGACGTTCAGGGGGTGAATCTGTTGGTTGAGTCGACCTTCTGTAATATGGCTGAGTCAACCATCTGTGTGATTGCGTAATTTTGCGGTTGAGCTATCAATTGAGATATTTTCTCAGTATACAGCAAAAATTCGAGTAAACTGTCAGTAAAAAACCCAGACAAATATCGGTAGTCAGTTTACCATTCAGGGCCTGATTAAATATCGTTTGATGCTTCTAATCAACATGCGAATCCCGCCCCATTGTTTAATCAGACTGATCAGACGTGTTTTTATATAATAAGTGTCCGAGTGTTGGAATTATCAAACATCAAAAGCAAGCGAAAAACAAAAAGAAGCATTAATTAAAAATATTGCACTAGGCTGGGTGATCAGTATTAGACGCATTATCAGGCGAACTGTAGTTCCTTCGCCTAATTTCGTCGAGACAAGACAGCCGTCTTAAGACCTCTTAATGTTTTTGCTGTTTGGATGCTTTGAGGACCCTTGGCTTAGGTTTAGGCCTCACATGCAATGAACTAAATTTACTGTGTTGTCGTGACAATAATGCTAAATTAAAAAAGATTTTAAGTGGTTTGCCAAAACTTTGTAGATGAGCTTGTAAGAGGTCATGAGACATAAGACAACAATTCTCATATTATATATTGCGAGTTGATTACCATGGCAACTATATTTGATATCCAAGATGGCTGCCACACAAACAGACCAATTATCATTTTGGTGATATCATTCTCAATTCTCGCGCATTAATTACATTTTTAATTTACTCTTTTGAAATTTTTTACATCCTCTGTCAAACACAACTCATTTATATGCGACTTGTTTGGCTTCTCGAACTTAATCTTGTCAATTTTGATTGTATTTTTTGTCAGTCAAAACGCCACAAATTTTGCAAATTATTCATGTTAAATTTGGCGAACCGTGTAATAGTTTACATGCTGTATTGGTCTTTAATAGTTCAAAACCGCAGGGATGCTTGCTTTTCAAAAATAAAACCGCAGTGGTCCGGATAATTTCAATAGCTCTTTTGTGTTAAAAGTTTTTTTTCCCATGGTAGAAAGTTGACCGAAGTTCGTTTATACATTTTGCAAAGAATGTTTTTAAAAGCATTTTTATACGGTGCAACTAATGTTTTTCACGGTATGCAAATATGAAATGCGGTCTGGGACAAAATTTGCAAATAACCTGCTCGCTAAATTTGCTCCAATTTTATGAGTATTGATTTGCATATTGAGGCATCGAGCTCAAGTGATAATCAGATGTAAGTTCTCGCTTTGGTCGACTTTAAGAACACGTCAAGATAAGTTGACAAGTTGTAGATCGACAGATGGAAGTAGTTTTAGCCATATGGGTTTGAAAGCTTTTGTGTTTAGTTCGAATCCAACATGGCTCTAAGCAAAACTGTTTTGAAATCTCGCCTGGAAGAAGCCGTCTCATCGTCAAATGTAAGTGCTGATATAGAATAGTTATTCCTTAGCTTTTATATTATGTATTGTCGTTTGGCTATTTTGAATATTATGTATATGTATTCACTGTTTAGTCGTATTTATTTGTACAGAGCAAATGTAGTTGCAGAGTTAAAAATGCTTACAAAATTTAGATTAAACATTATTTGGTATTATAGAAAGCTATCTGTTTAATTTGTTTATTGTCAGTTGTAATATAGGAACTAGAGGACTTCTCGTATTATAGAAAGAAGCTGTTCAGAAGTGTGTATTTATATAGACATAAAGTCATAGTAGACAGGGCATTTCAGCTGTCTGCTTATCACTACACGAGTATCATGCTTAATTTTATTGTGGTATTTGAATAGAATGTTAATTTTATGGCTGGTGATTTATCTGTATGAATGCTCATTACATTAACCTTTATCTCGAACTATTTAAGAAGTATAGGTTCTTGTATTTTCGCCTTCTTCGTTTTGCTTGTCATGTTTTTTTTGAGAAAGCATAATATGAGTGGGCCGTGTAGCAATTATACGTTTGAAAGTTCGGCTTAATTTCGTTCTAATTTTATTTTGCATGCTATATGTTTTTCAAAACACAAACCGTTTAACGCCTGCTGTGACACAAAAAACGTCTAGAACAGTATTAGCAAACCTCTTTTAAACTGATATCTGATTTTTCAAACGCGCTTTCAAGCAAAATTTGCTTCGAAAACCAAAACCGTTAATGGCAGGTGGTAATAATATTATAATTCACGCATTTACAAGCCAACGGCAATTAAAATGTTCGTCTTTTTGTTAAGTGAATGTCCTAACTGACGAACCTTAGGCTTAACACAAAACATTGTTAAGGCCGGAATTATAACGAGTTTTTACGGTTTTTGATCGATGTTAGTAATTTGTATAACAATACGAAGATTGCTTTATTTGATTTTAAAATGAGTTACATGGTTCTGTTTTGTGAATATATTTTTGAATATGGAGTCATAGCAAATATAAACATTGTATTGATTATAATTTTAGCGCGTGTATCCGATGCGATAAAGAGGAAACCTAAACTGAACTAACTTTATTTTGTATATTGGATAGCCTATAAGTAAGGGCCAACTATTATCCAGTAAGGACCAACTATTGTCTGTCCACCAAAGCTGAAGTAACGTTGTTTATACTGCCTACTGGATAGTTCTATATCATAGTTCAAAATTAGTAAGGGCCATCTCGTGTATAGTGGATAACTTCATAAGTTTTAAACTGTTCCTACAGGTCCAATAACACTGGAGAAAAATTGTGAAATCCATACTATGTCTACGTCTATGAAATTTGCAATTGCATCACAGTATATCCATATTATTTCCATACTATATCCCACAGTATGGAAATTGCAATTAGTATGGAAATTGGATTTCCAAACTATTTTCAACGAGGATCCTTACTATTTCTATAGCAAGGATTTTGAAAAAAATTTCCAGTGTAAGGGTTATTTTATATTGATCCAGTGTTATTACAAGAGGAAACCTAAACTAAACCAACTTAATTTATACTGGATAGCTTTATCAGTTTTAAACTGTTCTTCCTGGAGGTTCAGTAAGGATCGTCTCTTTTGGTACAGTGACCAGTGTTACTACTGGATCAATGTGGAGTACCCAAAGAAATCTTGTTCTGGTATTTGGTGAGGTCATACTTGGTTATACTCAATTGACTCTATGTATATATGCGTGCATGCTCACCGTTGCTTGGAAAAAGTTGTCAAAACACTTGACCAGAAAAGTACACTTGTCAAATGCGTTCCATGGGTCACGTAATTTTACTCAAAAGGCACTTGGAACCTTGGTATATGCGGTTTGCTTGGGCCTTGACCTTACAGCTTACTCTCGTATTCTATGCAGCTGCAGTTGAAGACAGTTTTATTTTATCTTCCCTATCTTTGTGTGTAAGAAACTCCTCAGATTTTCTACAGCTACTCATGTTTCCTCCTGTAGAAACACCTGAGAAACACTACACTGACAAGAATTATTCATGCTGGACCTCTACTCCCAGGGAGAACGGTTTAGAATTGATAGAGTTAGACTCGTTAGTAAGACTCGACCAGTATCAGGAATGGGGCATTACTGCACCTTAGGCAGAACGGATTTGGAAACTGATAGAGCTATGCTGTATAAATAAAATTAGTACAGGTTCATTCCTATAGAAACACTGGACGAATAGATGACACTTACTGGGCTCTAAGTTTAAGAACTGATAGATAATATCCAGTATAGTTTAGGTTTGGTATTGATTGAGTTTAGGTTTCCTTCTGTTATCATGCTAAATTAATAAGATATTACCCTTACAGTGGAAATTAATCCTAACCCTTTCCCTAATCCAAACCCTAATCCTAACCCTAAAAGTCTAAAAATACTAATTCCCCCTAAAACGTGACTCATATGATCCAGTACTAGACTTTTGTAATTTTGTACTCTTTTGTATATTTTAAACTTAATCCTAACCCTTACTCTAATCTTAATTCTAACCCTTTCCCTAATCCAAACCCTAATCCTAACCCTAAAAGTCTAAAAATAGTAATTCCTCCTAAAACGTGACTCGTATGATCCAGTATACTCAGTATAACCTAAACCATATTTTTTCCATTCCAGCTTGGCTCGAAGATTTGGTGTGGGCAAACATACAATGATGTATTTACGGGAGAAACCCTCATCAATACTCTTGTTGCTGACTCGACAATTTTCCCCTCCCGAAACTCGGCAGTCGAGTACGCGCAAAGCTTGCTGGATACAAAAATGATCACTTGTATCACGAAACGACGAAAGTTCGACGACACCGACCGATTGTATTGCATTAATCGGAAAGAATTGGAGAATGCTGTTGGCGATGATTCGACGAACATCGTGCGGACAACTCCGAAAGGGAAGACCGATAACTCCCCAAATTTGAAAACAGCACAAGTTAAGAAGGAGCCTTTGGGCAAGCCCAATAGTCAAGAGGTTAGATACATTAACTCGTTTTAAACTATTATTAGATAAAATATATGAACAAGGTCAAGCAAAATATAATAGTTTGAAGGCGAGACCTTGATTGAATTTTGGATAGCAAATTGCAGAATTTAATCCAAATTTAATTGATCAAATTTAATTGATCCAAATTTAACTGGAAGTAGATGTCGAACGTCATCAGTCATTAGAGAGGTTAAGATACCCCGGTTTCGGTGTATGTGTACGGGTAGCATGATTTTGGTTAGCAATATTTTCGTCGATGTCTGTACCTTTACTCGTAATTAAAGTGCACATTTTTCGCATTATATCATTGTCTATTGCAAGAAAACAGAAAAAGTATGATCGAATTACAGACATCAGTAAAACAACTACTCGTACCCGTACACCGAAACCGGGGTATCTTAACCTCTCTATTAAAGCCTGGTTCACACTGGCAATTTTGTCGGCGATTTTGTGTTTCTGATGGATGTAAATGAGTGAACTCTCACACCAAAGTATAGAGTGGCTTTTCAGAAGTAAATAATTCTATGTCTTTTGCATGTCATTCATTCGATCACATTTGTCACGAGGAGAAATCGCCGACAGAATTGCTAATGTGAAGTTGTGAACCAGGTTTAAACCGGTTTAAACCATAACTTTATACTGGATAACTCTATCAATTCTAAACTGTTGTCCTTAGAGGTCCAGTAACGGTCATCCCTGATTAATCCAATGTTACTTCAGGAGGAAACCTAAATCAAACTAACTTTATTTATTCTGGTTAGCTCTACCAGTTCTAAACTGTTGTTCGTAGTCCAGTAGGGTTCGTTCCTTGTTGTCAGCGACCGTTTGAGATTTTATGATCGAGTATTATTTTGTTTTTATAGTTGACAAAGTTGACTATATCTTTGCAGATATACATAGCATTTTATGTATTCATTTAAATGAAGGAGAAATAGCTGCTAAGTGGAAATTAATCACTTAATTCGTTCCATGTTTAATAGTTCATTAATAAATCATACTTGTGTCTCACTATCATATTCACTGTCATACTAAAATGAAAAATAGTTTTATATTTAGTAATTCAAGTAGGAAAACTTTTTAATCCTAGTTCATATAGTTGTTGGATGTTGCATGTAAAATTAGTTTATCACTATTTTAATCACTTTTAATTTTTATATCATGTAAATTTATATATACAATTTAGCCATTTTGGCTGCAATGATATATCTAAATAAATTATCTATCTATTTATACAGAATATAAATGGCATGAACTCACATCAACAGAGTAACCACGTGACACCTACCTCGAAAACCACCGACAGCAACGGTCTGCGTTCTACGAATCTTCAAAGATTATTAGAAAAAGATGCTGTACAGGCAAATCGTAGAAGTTCATCACCTAATAAAACAACACCGTCGTCAGCAAAGGGGAATTTTGTCGGTGTGTTGAAGGATAAACGGTCCGAATCCCCTAACGAGAGGAGATTGACAGCAAATAAAATTGAGGTTGTCTTAAGTCAACAAGAATTTGAAAAGCAGCCACAACAAAGTAGTTCGGTGATCCTGATAGAGAAACCAAGTCTGCCGCCTACTGAAACTGACGGCCCGAAAACTGCAAAGAATCTAAAAGCATCTCCAAGTCCAAAAACACCCGACGTTGCAAAGTCGGACATCGAAAGTAAAAAATCTGAAGACAAGCAAAAAGTTAAGAAATCGCTTTCGCCTTCTTTGACCGCCCTCATCGAGAAAGACACTAAGAACAGTCAAAGAGAAAAGAAAAACGTTGAAGTGAATGGAACTAGTTCTCCTAAGACAAACGAGAACGGCCCTTCGAAGAGTGGTGAGCTGTCAAGTAGCTGGGAAGCTTTTGAAATGAAATTACAAAGTAAAGTTAAAAAGAGTGCCGAAAAGCCGGGACGTGGGAGTCCCGACACGCGTGGGAGTCTCGACACGCGTGGAAGCATCTCAAAGAATATGCAGATAGTTATCGAGGACTCCACAAACGCTGGAAAAGAGCTTGAGAAAACTGTTGGAACGGTTTCAGCCGAGACTCGGGATTCCGAAGACTGGAAAGCTGTTTCGCCTGAAAAGATTGATACTGGGATGTCCTCTGTGCCTGTTGGTCGACGTTTGTCCCGAGAAAACGAAGGAAAAGCGGGAAAAACCTCGAATGAAGACTCGCCAGTTAGGTTGTCTGTAAATGGTGACCAAATAATCATTCCTTCTGTACGATCTAAAAAAAATTCATTTCTGACAGGCGAAGAGAACAGTGACTCTAATGGCGGGAAAACTACTAGTGGACGAGAGCGAGGACCTTCGTTAAGCTTCAACGACGATCCTAAAACTGTTATTATTGAAGATACCATAAAACAATCAAATGGGATAAAAACTGGCCATAAAATCTCTGAAAAGCGCGAAAGAGTCCCCTCGTTCCACTTGACTGAAGATACGGTAATTATTGAAAATGACATTGGCCCGAATAATTTGTGTGCAGAGACTGCCGTGTCCAGAACTCCGTCGCAAAGTTCAACAAATTCTCGTGTTTCAACTTGCAGCGAAAGGAAGGGTTTGAGTCGAGAAGTGAGTTCGGAAAGTGCCGAGTCCAAACCGAGGACTGCCTCTTTTGGAAAACCTGGGATAGAGCGTGGTTTAACGGGCAGCAAAATTGAGACGAGCGGGCGAAATGGAGACACGCGTGGGTTGAATGGTGTAACGCGTGGGGTAATGGCAATCGGGAAACAAAAGTCCATTGAGATAGAAATTCCGGGAAGTGACAAACAGTTGAACTCGAAAGACGAGAATCTTGTCAACACGAATGGGCGAGCAATGCCCAGGAGTTTGGCAGACCTTTTAGCACGGGACGAAACCTTACCACCGGAGAGCCAGAGCCGAGTGGTTTCGGAGCAGAGTTCTGCAGACAACACGAATTTTTACAAGGATAAACTTAAAGAGCTGAAGAAAACCACCCCGTATTATGCGAGTGGACCAATCAAAATTGGCGACCGAGGAAATGGCTCAGCCAATCAGGGCAAGGCTGGTACTACTAGCCCAGCCTATCAGGGGAAAGTTAGTAACACTGGTCCTGATTTGCAAAATGGACTAGATACTGTTTCAGATAAAACAAAAGTATCGGAATCGAACAGTACTGACGTTAATAATAACTCGGAAGTTAAGGAGAATTTGGCTTCAAATACCAAAGTGTTCAAATCAAACAGCGTGGAATCAACTTCGTCTCAAAAGAGTGAGTTCACTGTAGCTGATGGTAAACAAGAATATTCAGGAAAAGTTATGCGTATTCCGTCTGGAGGGACAGCTATAGGTAAGCTACGGTTGTATTTTATTTTATGTTCTTTTTAAAGGTGTAGTAAGGGCCATTTCTTAAAATAATGCCCCCTCAGTGCTACTAACTTCCCGAGAAGGGCCTTCGCTCGAAGCGGTCGAAGTTAGCCTAGACCTAGGCCTTTACTCGGCTGACTTTGGCAGGTTTGGTCAACTTCGGGCTAGCATTTGGTAACTATCGCCATATTTGGTATTCGCTCTCGCCCTTCCTCTGCCCCGCCCCCAAATTGCCTAGGTCCCACTCTTCTCATGTGAAAAAGCGCTGAATATTAAAAAAATAAAATAGAAGGCCTAGGTCTAGGCTGGAAGTTCTTGTACTTTTCAGGTAGTTGCATTACTATCAACCCGAAGCTTTCTTTTGGTATATTTTTAGATATAGATACTTATCATACGGTGTACAGGGCTTGAAGTAACGTTCCCAAAGTTCCCGATCATGGTGATCGGCAGTCATGATTTTCCCTGCTTTTTCAGGTTGGAAACCCTGCTTTTCCGCCGATCGATTATTTCAAGCCCTGGGTGTGAAGGGTATATCTACCACAACCTGAAAAATAAACATGACTTATCATATCTTTCAATTATTATCTGTAACTAAATTAAAGTTTTGAGGATTCTAAATTAAAGTTTTGAAGAATCTAAATTAAAGTTTTGAAGATTTAAGTAATTTTCTTTTTAGGACACAAGCCTTGTACAGACCAGAACAAAACTCACCATGAAAAGCCCTCTCCAACTTACGTGATGCCACGTTTAAACCTCGGCTCTCACCACTCTCCGCTGTCCCAAGGTTCACCCACCACTGTCGCATCCAGTCCCCTGGTGAATGGCGAGAGCTCTCCGTCGGAAGAACTCGAGAGACGCTTGGCTGAATTCGAGATACACAAGCGAAGCTACGAGAACAAGATCACTGAACTTCAGTTACAAGTTGATTACCTCCGCAGACAAAAGAACGGTCAACTCGACGAGATTGATAGTACAATGTCAATTTCAGACGTGACGTCATTATATTCGCCTTACTCCACCCCCGTCGTCTCCCCTGGGAATTCGACGGTGACATCACCTTCCCCCACACCCCAAGCTACACCCCGCGATTCAATGGTTTTAGGGAATAATGTTCTCTCCCCCATGTCCCCTACCCCACCTCCACCCCCGGCTCTTCCCTTTATTCCCGCACCGCCATTGGTTCCTGAAAAACACGTGAAACCCAACAAGCCGGTCGTGAACCCCAAGACCGAAATGAAACCGCTGTTTTGGAACAGGATTATCGCTTCGAATGGTATGAGAAAGTTGCATGTATAAGAACCATACATGGCTAGGAAACAATGTATTCTGGTTTGCCTACTACATGGCTAGGAAGTTTGCCAACCTTTGAGAAACATGGCTGGGAAACAATATTTTCTTGATTGCCCACCTTCAGGAAGCATGGCTAGGAAACAATGTTTCCTGGTTTTCCAATCTTAGGGAAACATGGCTGGGGAAACATGGCTACAAAACAATGGGGAACATGGCTAGGAAACCTTGTTCCCCTGTTTGCCCACCTTCAGGAAACATGGCTAAGAAACAATGTTTCCAGATTTGTTTTTCGCCTTTGGGAAACATGGCTAGAGTTGAAAATGTGCATTGTGTGGCAATAGGCCATCAACACCCATTGGCTGGTTAGTTTTAATTCTGACACTTAGAGAAACAAGAAGAAATTGTTCAACGACATTTGACTTTTTTGAATTTTTTATATTTTTGTTCTCGTAGACTCGATGCCCAAAGACAAAGGCAAATGTGTTTGGAAAACCATAAAAGAACCAGCCATCGACACGAATGAATTTGAAAAGTAAATTTACTTGCTAATCGTTTGTTTTCAAGAAACCGAATTTATATCGTAAACTATAACCTTGTTTTGTCTGTTTGTAGGCTTTTTAGCAAGAAGGCCCCTCACCGTAAACTGAATAGAACGAAATCTCTCCGTGATGATAAACACTTTGCACACATCAATGGCAAGAAGGTGAATTATCTGATGTACCTGTATATTGACTAGGGGCTTCGGTGGCGCAATCGTCTGAGCAAGCGTAGCCCCCCCCCTTGTTAGGAGCTCAGGGGGCTGAGCCCCCCCTTGTTAAAAATGTCATGCCGATTTTTTTTTTTGGGGGGGGGGTTGATCTCCCAATTTTTCCAGATTGTATATTCGTAACCTGGAAAGTTCTTTGCAATTGTAGTGTTGAAATGATGCGGTAATGATGTTAGCAATCTGTATTTGATTACTATAATCATACTAATAGGTCATGTATGAAATTGCTTCGGTATATCGGAATCTTATTTTTGAAGTTAAATCCTTTCTTCAAAAACTTCTAATTGAAGAATTACTAGAACCAAAAATAAATACTGGAACTTTCCATGTTTATCATGTTGCTCCCTCCACGCCTTGTCACCCTCAGATCTTGTCACCCCCTCTCCCCCCTTCTCCCCCTCCCCTCCCCTCCCCCTCCCCTCTCTCCCTCCCCCTTTAAGAGTTTCCTTTGTTATCATTTCAGTTCCATACCACTGCGTGCCTTGTGTTATCAACATCCCTCACAACCCAATACAGACACATAACAATATAAGACTTCACTTCTAGTTGTATTATACATCGCCCAGCGCTGTCTGTGAAGAATAGTTCCTTTATTGTTACTGGAATCGCAAAGCTAAGTTTTAGGAAAGACTTTTCTGGGATTCATGTTGCACTTTTAACCGTTCTTTTTCCAGGTTGCGAAATTACTGGACACCAACCGATCTCGAGCGATCGGCATTAAAATGAGCAGTCTAAACTGTCAGTTGGAAGATATCAGAAATGCCGTTTACAATATGGACACTTCTGTCGTCGATATGGAAAGGTATGTAATAATCGAAACAAAACAATAGAAAGAGACTGGATCTGGACGCGCCTTCTTACTCCAGATAAATATATATGGAGCACACTACCTTTTTTGAAGAATCGTATTGTGGTGGGGAAAGGAATATGCTGTTGTAATTATTGTACATTGTAGTTTTGAGGCCCGTTTACCCTTGCAATTCTTACTGCGATTTTAGTTGCGATTTTCCTCTCCTGATGTATGTGAACGAGTGGATGAGTTATGAATGTTCAGATGAGGGAACATCAGAGAGGGTACATATACTTCTTCATAACTTATTTACTCGTTCACATCCATCAGAAGAAGAAAATCGCACTAGAAATCGCAGCAAAAATGGACCATTCCCCCAATTAACCAAAATTTTGAACTCAACAACTCCACACAAAATACCATCACAGGTTGAAAGAGCATCACAAAATTAGTAATATTCCAAAGTTTCGTTGCGAAATGTTGTAAAATGCGGATAAAATAGCCTTGCGCAATTTGCAATTTTCAGTCATTTTAGATTACAAATGGGAAATGGTTACCACTTTTCCAAAATTTTGATCTTAGGGACCGCTCATTATTTATTGTACAGGGGGGGACTGAGGAGAAACTCTACAGTTATAATATTTTTTCGTTGCCCCCCTCTTAAGACAAGTAAAATTTTCAAAGCCCCCCCCCCAACAAGCAAAACAAGAACATAAGTTTTGCCCCCCCCCCTCTAGCTCTTTATCTTTATTTAGAGAAACAAAAACTCTAGCTGTTTATTTTAGAGAAAGAAAAATAGGTAATGGGGACCAATAGACATTCCCATTATAGACTAATTTTTTATCTTAGCAAAAAAAGTATATTCCCAGGAAGGGCATACTAAAATTAGTAAAATTCCAAAGTTTGGTTGCAAAATGTTGTAAAATATGTAGAAAATATAGCCTTCCAAAGTTTGCAAATTTTGTATTCTTTTGTATAATTGCAATTTTCGCATGCAATACAAAAGTGTACAAAATTTGCAAACTTTGCAAAGCTATATTTTCCGTATTTTGCAACAATTCGCAACCAAATTTTGCAATAATTTACTTATTTTAGTATGCTCTTTCTAGCTGTGGTGATTTATTTGCATCAAGGCCGGATTTTGAGGGAAGTGTGGAGAGGTGCGCACCTCCCCAGAGATCGTTTTGCACCTCCCCTGAGAATTTTTCCACCTCTCTTGAAAGGTCATGCACTTCCCCTTGGGAAAGTTTCAGTGATGGAACAAAGTGAAAATGTGATGGTTGCTTAGGATCTACACTTTGTGACGTAAGAAAGTTTTCTCTGTAAAATTGAAACAGTGATAGCCATATCATGCACCCTTTTAATGCAATGTTTTGAAAGAAACAGTGTAGCATCTCTTTACCTAGTTCTAAAATTAGTCTATAATGGGAATTGTCTAATTACATGAACACGAGAGACTTTTTATTTGACTTCCATTTATGAATATTAAAGTCCATAAATATTGTTATTTGTTGTTAAGTTGTTTTGTGATACATTTTTAAAACTACTAATGTTTTTTCAAACTGGTAAATATTTTCAAAGCCCCCCTTCTTTCGTCTCTCTGTATTTTTTCAAAGCCCCCCCTTTCAGGTTTTGAAAAATTTAAAGGCCCCCCCAGTTTCTCCTCAATCCCCCCCTGTACAATAAATAATGAGCGGTCCCTTAACTAGCCTAAACAAAAATTTCATCACAGCTTGAAAGAGCATCACACAATTAGTAATATTCCAAAGTTTCGTTGCAAAATGTTGTAAAATGCGGATAATATAGCCTTGCGAAGTTTGTAATTTTCAGTCATTTTGTATTACGCACAGAAGTGGTAACCATTTCCCGTTTGTAATCTAAAATGACTGAAAAGCAAACTTCGCAAGGCTATATTATCCGCATTTTACAACATTTTGCAACGAAACTTTGGAATATTACTAATTTTGTGATGCTCTTTCAAGCTGTGATGAAATTTTTGTCTAGACTTGTTGAGTTCAAAATTTTGGTTAATTGGGAATGGTCCATTGCAAGTGTACATGGTGCAATTATTGTATTTTAGTCTTCAGTCAATTTACGACATCTATCCTAAAGAGGAAGAGATACAAATCATTGAAGAACACTTGAAGAAAGAACCTGCAGGTATATTTGTATTGGTCTTTGAAATATTGAATTATACAGAAATCTCTCGAATGACCATGACCAGGTCTTACAAATGTATAAAAATCCACTTGTATTTTTCGCAAACTGCTCCTGGTTAGATCTAGTTAGTGTATAAAAATTCCACTCGACAAATCCCTTGAACAATGGACCATTTGCATTATAGACTAAATTTTGATCTAGACAAAATTTTCATCACAGCTTGAAAGAGCATCACAAAATTAGTAATATTCCAAAGTTTCGTTGCGACATGTTGTAAAATGCGGAGAATATAACCTTGCGAAGTTTGCCGTTTTTCAGTCATTTTTTATTACAAACGGGAAATTGACAGCCCCAAAGGGTGTTGGGCTGTCAATTTCCCCCGCGTAATGTAAAATGTAATATTCCAAAGTTTCGTTGCGAAATGTTGTAAAATACGAATAATATAGCCTTGCGAAGTTTGCCGTTTTTCAGTCATTTTGCAATTCCGCATTTTACAACATTTCGCAACGAAACTTTGGAATATTACTAATTTTGTGATGCTCTTTCAAGCTGTGATGAAATTTTTGTCTAGACTTGTTTGGATCAAAATTTAGTCTATAATGCAAGTGGTCCTTTAGTGAGATGCCTTATTTACCCATGTAGATCGTGGATCCCACTAGGAAACATTTATTTTTCAGACCTTGTCTATTTTGGGCACAACCACTATGTAAAATGTAGGTCACGTTTGAAGTTTTATCTGGAGACAATCTAAAGCCTTGATTTTCGTTCCGTTTAGTTCCCTTGGATAAACCAGAAGAATTCATGAATCAGTTGAGAAAAATGAAACATTTCAAGGAACGCTTGGAATGTTGGCTATTCCAGGATAAGTTCTCCGAAATTATATACGGAATAGGTATAATGGTTTGTTCTTTATTTCTTTGTCACTAGTAACTCCACCAAACTATCTTTATTTATACTGGCTCTATCAGTTTCAAAACCATCCTCAGGAATATGAAAAACTAGTTCCATTTTATTATTCTGATAATACTGTCACGAAAGTGGAAGACACAGGGACGGATTCACTGGATAGGTGTGGGGGGGGGGGGTGCACCCCTCCTAGCCTTGGCAAAGGGTGAACATTTACTTATTGAATCCATTTATTGAGCATGGAATAGCAATTACAAAATAAAAAATAAAATAGACAATATTAGATTGTAACATGATTGTGAAAGTTTATATTGATATTTTTCCTTGCAGAACGAAGTCTGGCTTGTATTACCGAGAGTTCAAATGTCATCACAACAAAGTAAATCTTCTATCTCTTCTATCTTCCATTTTTAAAAGACAATCATGTATAATTGTCAGTCTGAGCTGGTACCGATCGAGATTCGAGAATGTGAACCGGATGTATTTGAATAGTACGGTGTGAATTTGTTAACGGATAAGGCATATATGCTTTACTTTAATAGTAAACGGAAACGTAATCTAAGTTTATCTTCTACTTTAGTTCTGAAATTGCAACTCTTCTTGGCCTCATTCTGGCGTATGGAAATTACATGAATGGCAACACGCAACGGGGCCAAGCCGATGGTTTTTATTTGGATGTTCTGCTCAAGCTGCGTGATGTCAAAGCGAAGGATTCAGACATGAACTTACTGCAATACACTGTGAAGCAGTATCTGAAACAATATGAACGAAGTCTTGATAAAACCAAGAACGAATCTCGACTACCAAGTCCTGTATCTTTGGCCAATGCAGCTCAGGTGAATATGCTATAACATTTTGTATTCTTAAGCAGAGATGGAGGGTGCTTTGCCAGCTCTGATGCCAAGTTGTGTCGGCCATGTGCGTCGCCCGCCCGTCCATCAACTTGCTTGACTACGGCAAAGTCTTGCTTGACTACTGTATTTGAATCGCGACAACAAGTTCACAGTTCGTTTATCATCATTGTTAATACTCAAATTACTGTATCTCATTTTGTCTCTAATATTTTTTTGCTTTGTCATGAAAAATAGCACCCCCTGCACCCCTCTGGCCAGGGCTAGGGGGCTGCCCCACCCGTAGTAAATCCATCCATGTTCTTAAGGCCGTTTCCTCTTCGACCGTATCGTATAAACGTATCGTGACACTACGGCGGTCAAACGTCCAAAAACCATAATTGATTGTTTGTACTCGGAAGACTTTGTTTTCACGAAGCTATAGCGAAAGGATTAAAGAAAATTACGAGGGATTAAACTCAGTATAACTTCGTCTTGACACAAGGAAAAAGCGGTGAAATTCTCTACCTTATAGCTCAGCCGTTTCCTTATAGTAAACGCTTTTCTTATCTCATATTTACTCTCATATTATTTTGGCAGACATTTTTTAATAGTTTTGTTTTATATTACTTTGAATTAGTTTTACTTTAACTTTATTTCTAGTTCTATAGTTGCAATTATCAAATTATATTTTTCAATTTTTTTATCAGGTGTCATTCGACAAATTGAAAGAAGGTTGGTATAGATTTTGCCATTGGTAATATATTGCCTTGTACACCATCGGATTGTTATTACCTTGATTTTAGGATAACATTAACATTGTTCGTATTTTTCAGAACTGCTCAAAATCTCCCTGTTGCTTGATGAAACTGAAGTTCAAGTAGGTCTTCATAAATTCTCAATGAATTTTTTTTACTCCAATGGGTTAACTAGATACTGTATAATGATTGTGGTGTATGTGCTCGGGTGGAATTATTTAAGATCATGCTAACCCGATTGTGTCCACACCAGGCAAGCTGAAAAACTTGCTTGATAGCGGTAGGAATCGAAGCCGTGACCGTCGGTTTTGACCCGATTGCTCATTATGTATAACCATGTTCCCAGAGTCTTGCCTCTTGTTGAGGCACGAGTGTAGAGGAGAGAGATTGGAAACGAGGTTGGTTAGGGCATTGGACAGCAACCAAAGGTCGTGTGTTCGATTCCCACCACTGTCAAGCAAACTTTTCAGCTTGTCCGCGAGATGGATACACTTCAAATAGATCCTTATAGTTTACAGATTTTTAAAGGACAAGCTAAATTGAATTAACTGTATACACGCAAAGACTGATATATGTACATATATACGTACACATAGATTATTTATAGCTCCCTCCCCATCGGGCCTTTTCGGGATATTAGCGAGGTTCAGATTTGACTACCATTAAGGGACCATTAACCATGCAATCAGGTGCGTTTCATATGTCCGATCAACCAATCAGATGCGTTCTAAGCCAGTGAAAGGGTTAATGGTATAGCGGCAGTGGAAGTCAAATCTGAACCTCCATATATTACCTATTTAACTATACTTAGACTAGACTATTTGTCTTTACAACAATTGTGGTACTTTGTTCCTAATCGTTAACTTTCCTATGACAATCTTTAGGCGAAGAAAATCCTGGACGTATGTTCTCCTGCCCAGCGGAATCCTTTTGAGAACAAAATGCGCACATTCCAAACCACTGGTATGTATAATATATATACCCGAGTTTATTCTGCATAATAATCGCAAGAACATAAGATATGAAAATATAACCAAAGTTCTTACCAGCAATATAATTTAAAAACCTCATTATTTCAGCTAAACGAAAGATTTCTGAAGAAACGGAAAAAATGGCGAAAGCTGAAGTTGCTTTTCTTGAAGCTGTCGAGTATTTTCGCTGGGAGTCGAGTGAGAAAAAGGTGATTAATTAACTTTTCGTCGAGCAATCGGAAAAATATTATGCTATTTTACACTTCCTTATTGAGCTGCATAGGTACATAAAGCAATCTGAATATTTCTGTACTGAATTTTAAGGAAACTCCACAAGAATTCTTTGGTTTGTGGGCGAAATTTGTTGACGAAATCAAAATCTGTGTGAAGGTAAACTCGTATGTGGGTCTCTTGTCGTGGAAGCACAAGAAATAGGAATGCTGATTATTTCCCTTCTTGTCTTTCTTTTTACAGTTGGAAAAGCAACAACAGCAGATTGCGAAAAAGAATTTTAGTAAAGTCGAACATCTTAACCAGGTATAAGAATTACTTTTACAAACAGTCAACTTTGGGAAAATTAAGCTTTATTTGTACTGGATACTTCTATCAGTTCTAAATTGTTCTCCCAAAGGTCTAGTGAATACATCACAGTAGGAATTTTGCATAGATCAAAATTATAAGTTTTGAAGGATTTTTAAGAAATGTTTAAGGGAATTGACTTATAGTAGTAATAGTTTATTAGAACTCTCTTGCAATTACAAAAAACTGAATTAACGAGTACTTTACAATGGATAGAAATAAGTTATAAAATAGTACATGAATATGCTTTAGAATCTAGGCCATTTGCAAGAGTTAAAATCATTAGGCATTTACCAAAATAGTCAATAGTGCATGCATAATTATTTACAAATTATCATATATATTAAAAATCTTAACATATTAAGAGTATTTAAATGTAAAAAAAGATTGAGCTTTAATTGTTCTGCAATCAGTAACATTATTAAATAGATAAGATCGATCAGTGTTCTGTCTCAAATTAATATCATGGTCAGGAACAACAGGGATTGGCAATAAGGGGTTTTCTCGCCTCATTCTGGCCATGTATTTCTGACATATTTGGACTCTTCTTGTGCTTAAAGTTGGTAGTTGTGCAAAATTCAGGGCCTCTGCATATGATCCACTCTCCGAGAAAATTATTTTTAGTTTTAAACACTGAGTTAGTACCCTCAAACATTTCTTGCAAATCCTTCAAAACTTAGAATTTAACTATGTAAAATTCCCACTGTGTTCACAGAAACTTTGATAGTGTAAGCCAGCCTTAACCTGCATGCACTAACCACCTTTATCCTCTGTGTTTTAGATCAGAGAAGCGGCTACGAAATTCAGGAAACGACGGCAAAGTGTGGATATCATTCTATGATTTCCCAATGCCCAGATTCCAGGTCCAGAGTCCGTTTAAATATCATCCAAGTTCAGTCTTTACTTCGATTCACACGTCATTTTTTGGTCACGTGAGTACAAACTTGTAGAAGAAAGAAAATGCTTATTAGTGAGTATAGGAACTTAGTATGCTTTGCGTCTCCGCACTGATCCCGTTATTTTAGTGTCGCGAAAGCCAATTCACATTTTCGGAAATGAACACTTAGTATTCCGTTGGATTTTTCGAAAGAAAAAATCTGCTGGAAGTTTTTTGCGCTTTGCTTCGCTTTAGCCTGAGCACAGACCTTCGTTTTCCTTCCCTAAAATTCGCGGGTGGAATGCTTTGTTTTTGCTCAAGCTTCCCACCCGTGAATTTTAGGGCAGCTAAAACGAAGGTCTGTACTCACGCTAGTTTTCCTTCGGATTATCGGGATCTCGTGGATATTTGAGGATTTTCGAAAGATTTTTATGGACATTTTGGGATAAAATGCGATGTTGCGATAGCGATATAGAGTATCCGGGAATTTGATGGATTGAATAGATATAACTGTGTATATTGGCATGTTGAACTTACAAGCAGTAAATGCTTTCCATATATTTATTATTAATATAATATTTAAATATTCTAAGGTATACAGTCATGCCAATAGAAGCGTTCCGAAAAATGTTGATCAATTCATTTCCTAACTTTGAGGAATTCCTCTGAACAATTCCTCAACAATTTGATAAGTTCCTAAAAAAGTTCCTAACTTCCTATTTCATTGACCAATCAGATTGCTCAAAAGTAAAATATAAAATCTGATTGGTCAATGAAACAGGAAGTTAGGAACTTTTTAAGGAACTTATCAAATTGTTGAGGAATTGTTCAGAGGAATTCCTCGAAGTTAGGAAATGAATTGATCAACATTTTTCGGAACGCTTCTATTGGCATAGACTTGCTCCAAGTCTCTCTTTCATTGTCATATAGTATCGATCCACTATAGTGTACATTACATGACGTAGCACGGAGAGGCGGAGCGAGAAAGAGAGACTTTGTCAACTTCGGAAAATCTCGGTTTAAAACTGAACCGAAAATGTAAGACTTGCTTTAATTGTTTTCCTTCAATTTCTTTCTGTATTATTTACTATAATAGAACTCATGTTATTTACACTGTGCTAGATCAATACATATAAACACTGGAAGAAAACAATTAAAGCAAGTCTTGCATTTTCGGTTCAGTTTTGAACCGAGATTTTCCGAAGTTGACAAGTGTCTCTTTCTCGCCCCGCCCCTCCGTACTACGTCATGTAATGTACACTATAGTGGATCGATGGCAATGAAAGAGAGACTTGGAGCAAGTCTACTATTGGCACGACTCAGAGGGCACGACTGTAAACTAAATTTATTGTAGCTTATTCTATAAGCCATGCCCTGTGCAGAAGAGCATGTTTTCCTTGACAAGCTTTTCATAAGACACACAAGGTCTTTATAGGAACTGGTCATTACTGTATTTATGGTAGACAAAAGGTTTCATGTTGTCTGCACATGTATTTTCTTTGGAGACACCATTTGCCTCATGACAAATCGGAAAATGATCAAGATAGTGACTTTGATTGATTGATTTACATATTGTATATTGACATATGACTGTTGAGATTGCTTTTTAGTCTTCAATATTTGAATGAGTCATGCTTTGGAAATGACAGTAAATTTTTATTATCCAACCCTTGAGTTGTTTTGTTTTTCATTTACCCAACCTTTTACTCACTCTAAATTGTTTACCCAACCCTTTTCTCTTCGGTGTCTCCTTCGCCATAAATAATGACCGCTCCCTTACGTGCAAATTTCAGTTCCTTCAAAAGCTGGCACAACTAGTTTTTGAACGACGTAACTTTTCAATATTGTAAAGGAAATCTTGTCGAGGAAAAATTGCCGTCTAAAATGTTAAATATTAAATACATATTAAATTATTAAATTGTAGTATTTTGAGGTTAGCTTCCAAATTAATTGTGGCCAAAAGTACATATATTAAATTACTCTACTGTCAAAATTTTTAAATGTTTATTTGAGAAATGTTATGTATGAACTATAAACATAACCGTAGACCAAAAGCTTGTATATATGCATGTTCTACTTAGGCCTGGTTCCCACTAGCAATAGACCTTTCCCCTTTTAAGTGAGATTTTGATCTAGACTAGCCTGGACAAAAATTTCATCACAGCTTGAAAGAGCATCACAAAATTAGCAAATATTCTGAAGTTTCGTTGCGAAATGTTGGATGACAAATGGGAAATTGATAATCAGTTTGATCATCTGATTATCAATTTCCCGTTTGTAATGCAAAATGACTGAAAAACGGCAAACTTCGCAAGGCTATATTGTCCGCATTTTACAACATTTTGCAACGAAACTTCGGAATATTACTAATTTTGTGATGCTCTTTCAAGCTGTGATGAAATTTTTGTCCAGACTTGTGTAGATCAAAATCTCACTTAAAAGGGGAAAGGTCTATTGTGTCGGCGAATTTTCTCCTCCTGGAAAATGTGATTGAATAAATGAGATGCAAACGACTGAGATTTGTTTACTTCTGAAAAGCGACTCTATACTTTTGTGTGTGATTTCACTCATTTGCATCCGTCAGAAACACAAAATCGCCGACAAAATTGCTAGTGTAAACAAGGGTAACTAAGTATTTAAATGATGTATCTTTGTGAACTCATTTAAAACAAGAATAATCGCGCATATCCATAAATTGAATTCTTTTTTCATGTCGGGCGTCTGGCAGTCTATTATACACATAAATCACGCGATATGTCATCTGTTGCTACGGGAAGTCGCGCACAAAAACATGAGTCATGACCTATAGCCATGTTTTTTTAATATAGTTCCTTGTATTTTTCCTGGTTGCTTGGACGTGCTAGAATTCGTTAAGTTTTTGTTCCCTGTTAGGGACTTTGTATGTGCCAAATATCACTATCGATTCTTGGCAGCAATTAGCGAAATTAATATTTTGAATTGTTACGTCAAGTGCATATGATATCAGCTTAATTTACCTAAGACAAATGAATAATCTTAACATGCCAAAATAACTATAAGCTATAAGTAATAGCTGGACTACCTGAAAAAGATGGGGCCGTGGTTTGTGTCTGAACTGCCTATACCTAAAAATGATATCCTAAATATGGTGGTATATAATTAATGTATAGGGAAGTATAGTTCTGCCAAAAACTGCGGTCGGCAGGGATGCAATTATCCGAAAAATACAAAGAGAACTCCTACGTTTCGAGCGATGGCCCTTCATCGCCATCGGCGGGAAGTTCGTTTGCATCTGTATCAACCCAAGTTTTGTTAAGGTCCATTTCCACTCAGGGGAATTTTCCACAGAAAGAAGATTTTGTAAAGCTAGTGTGATCGGCCGACACAAATTTTCCGTCGGCAGTTTATTCTATATAGACTATAGAATATTACCTATAGTGTGGGATATCTTCTACAATCGTCCACAAAGTATTTGAGACAACCCCCCCCCCCCCTCCCATTTCAATGTTGCTTTGTGCTGTAAAATTGTTCTCTTCAAATATAAATTTATATAATGCATTAGATTTTGAATACGGTTGTCGGGTCACGTTATATTTCTGCCAGGAAGATTGCGATGAGCATTTCAACATTACGGAAACAGGGAGAAGAGTGGAGTGGATTCCAATAAATCTCAATATATATTGTGGACGATTGTAGATACAAATCACGGCGCTTATATATATATATATGTATGTATATGTATAAAATGGCTTCTAATTGGTGGCTTTACAATGAACAAAGCTGGTCACACAAGGCAATTATTTCCCCCCACATTGTTTGTCTTGTTTATCTTGCTGCGAAGATTCAATTATAGTCTTATCTTTCGGAACACGGATTCATATTATCGAGATAAATAGCATTAATCTTTAATAATTATGCACAAAGTAACGCAAATTTAATGAAACATAATTGCCCAAACCCAAGGAAAAATCATCTGCGTCGGTTACGTACAAACGTTTTTTTGTTGCCCCTAAAAAATTGATCCCAAAGCTGCCCTCAGTTGAAACATCACGATATTCATCGATTTCATCATTTACCGAACAGCCAGCCTAGTCCCTAGGCATCTTAGTACACTGGGGATTGGGCAAGGGGGCGCCCCACCCAGACATTTTGAAGTTACTATACAAGCTGTATAACTATATTCAACCGTGAAACCCTGCTACATAGCTATTTACTCTTTGCTCAAGCAGTCAAGCAAATTAGCATTTGAGCAAAAAAGGTTTGAGGAGTGAAATTTACAGCAATAAAGGCATAGATATCTTATAAGATATCTATGAATAAAAGGGTTCGAATATAACCTTTGCCAGATTCAATGAAAGATATTGAGATTCTTTTGTTGGTATACCGCCAATATAGCCGTAGTGACGTGCAATTATACTCATTTACTCATTTTTCAAGTACATTTACTCACTTTTCAAGTAAATCTTTACTTAAAAAATTGAGTAAGTTTAAAACTTTACTCCAAAAAATTTGCGTAAATTTGCTCATAAATTTTGAGTAATTTTACTCAAAACTTTGAGTCAAAATACTTGTGGCTTGTTGTTTTTAAAAGCCTATCTACACGATACGACTACTTGCACACGATTGTCATTCTGGCGTATGAGAATTACTACTGACGCCACAATTCTTCTTCATTTAGTTTATGGCGAAATTTCTTTACCTGTGTTTATTCGATTACATACGCCAGAATAAGAATCGTATACGACTAGGCCTTGAGAAGTTTGTTTCATGTCCTGTGGATACGAAATATGCCGATGAAACATTGACTGACACCCGATACCTAAAACCTGAACCCTAAACACTAACCATTTTAAATAAGGCACCCGCCATTTTTGGGTCGCAACCTTTTACGACGTGAACATGAAACTTTCTATTACTATAGTTGTAAGTATAATAATTATAAATCCATTTACAGTTAAATATTTGAAAAATTATTTTCACATCGTGTACATTATTCACGTTGTTTATAAATTAAGTATCCAAAAATGGCGGATTTAGACCTTCGCGAGAAAGGCTAATTAGCCTACGGTGTCATAGATATCACGGTGTACACCCCAGCAGAAATACAGAATCACGTTTCGTGTTTCGCTGCTGGGTGTTGTTTTAAGGTCATGTTTCAGTCAATGTTAATTGATTTTTTTCATTGATTTGCATATTCAGTATCCATGTAGGACATGGACTTATAGCCGAGTTTGACCAGGCAAGACTGTTGCCACTGTTTTATTTCAATGAAGCACATTTTGGCGGTTGAATGCTTATACAGTGCCAACAGGATCTCTGTTGGTATTCATAAAATGATGTAATTACTCCTCCCGTCGGTCCTATATCGTTACGATTTCCGACAAAGGAAGTTTAAAGTGGTCAATAAAACATTTAATGTCGTGAGACGGGCCACACTAAGAAAAGCACTTTTCAGCTGTGTGTGTGTATTGACTTGTGTATATTGAAAGTAATCAAATATCGGTTTATTGACTGAAGTAATCAGGTCGTTTGCAAAAAGAACACGTACAGTACAATGGCAGGGAACAATACTACCGACATTGCGAATTCGAGCGAAAATGAATCGTGTGAAATTGCCCCATCTTTGGCTAGCGTGATTATTATAGCGAATACGATATCGACAATTGTTGGTGGAATCGGGAACAGTCTTGTTTGCCTTGCGGTATGGAAAACAACTTCGTTACACAGTCCTATTAACTACTATATGGCTAGCTTGGCGGTCGCAGACTTGATTGTGACGGTCGTATGTCAACCATTGATGGTTGGCGTGATTGGTGGCAGACTAACGGGTGATTTAGACTGCGACAGCACACTGGATACAGTTTATCGAGCGATCGGCAACTTCTCGTGTGCTTCATCGTTTTTTCTCTTATGTTGTATAAGCTTAGAACGGCTCCTAGCCGTCCTCAGACCTCTAACGACAATCAGAAGTGTGAATAATAGACGATTCGGGGTGCTAGCATCACTAAGTTGGCTCATAGCGCTGTTATATTCGGTACTGCGTGTCACTGTTAGTCGTAAATGGACTTCATATTTTTCTGCAGCTAGCTTTTCCCTCGGTTATGTGTGGATAATTTCATGTTATGCTATCATTCTCGTTATTCTCACCATACAAGCAAAACGGCAAGCGAGCCTCACGATAAGCGAAAGAACGCAACGAAAACACGAAAAGAAAATCACGATGACAATGGTTTTGGTTATGGGTTGTTTCACAGTAATGTGGCTGCCATTTTTTTGTTTTCGCTTAAGCAGCAACTCGACGCTGAACAGTGGTGTTATATACGAGCTGGCAATAACTATGGCATTTTGTAACAGTAGTTTTAACGCTATAATTTACTCGTTCCGTAATAGGAAATACCGGAAGGCATTTAAAGCTATTCTCTTTAAAAAGAGTCCCATGCCAGCTCGCGGTACTGCACGAACTACCGCTCATTTGTCGGCGTATCGGAAAACATCGGGGAATGTTCGTCAAGCGTCGTACGTCTTGAAACCGATGACGTCACATGAGCTGAGTCAGCTGACCAATAGCTCGAAGATGCAAGTTACGGACAGCGAAGGGTCTTCGCATGGGGTAACAGGAAGTGATCGATCGTCAAATAGCATTAATAGTGCAACCACTAAATTCTCTACAAAGATTCAACCACTGAACTGTTGAATATCAAAAATAGGTTTTTATGTGGCAATATTTTGCATGGTATATTTAAACGATAAAACAGCTTTTTATTCCAATAAAATTAGTGATCAATCTTTTTCCCGTTTTTTTTTTAGAAATTTTTCTTTAGTTGTATCATGTTGATTCCATTGTTATAATTAAACCAGAAGGGGACGACCCCTTTAAATAAGGCCCTCTAGTGGCGTTGCTGTACAGCCTGTACGCAGGCTAATACCTAATTAGCATTTACACCGGTTTTATACTATTTAGAATTTATAATGTTTCATAATGGAAATCGTAACTATATATGAGACTATTTATATACAGCTCTTTTATATAACAATTTAATTGACAAAAAACATCGGTTTATGTGGGAATAACCCCCATACTTAGCAAACTCATTTTAACAAACATAACAACTTATCGACGTATTAATGTCTTGACCTACTCAAAACAAACAATTTAATTTGTGCTGTAGTGTTCTATACATATATCCCACAGCGACAGTTATTTAAACTTGAAAACACTAGGCAATATACATTATTGATTTGTTAACTGATAAAGACTGACATCTCATAATGTTACAAGAGATATCTTTATTTAAATCCTACTTAACTTCAAAGTAAAATGTGAACGCCAACGTTTTATGCCAAATAAGCGGTTTCGTCAAGAGGTTTTTCTGGCTCGTCCATTATTGATGCATTTCGTCGTGGTTTGTCAAACTGACAATTAGGAGGAATTAAAAAGAAAGCACGGCATTCGTTTGTAGCATTTAGCGAGAAAAGAGTGTGGCGTTGGGGCGAAATTATTGTCAAAAAATATAATTGATGTATACAGTCTATATGTAGGCGAATATATCTAGGTGATTCGCTTTACATGTATAGCCCAAGGGCAAGGGATTGTTGCTGTTTCTGACATTCGATGGCCTCTAGACTAACAACACCTGCCAGCAGTCCAGCTAGACCGAAACGCAGCCCTAAAAAATCCAAGAAAAAGATCAAGGAGAAAAATTCACCGAATGGAGAGGTATGGTTTATGAGTAGCCTACATTGTCCTTGATATTGTGTAAGTACATAAAAAACTCACTTCTTGTCCTTCAAGATTCGAGTCGTTCCCTCGATTTTTGTTTTGTTTATTGGCTCACACATTATGTAGGTTTGTATTTTAGTAGTACATATATGTACGTATGAAAAAAAAACAAAAACGAACGTGCATGAATAAATACATCTTCATGTCTTGTGCACTGGACAATTGATTGTAGAGGTGAATAAGAAAGCAAAGGTCTACACCGACTCATTACTCGAATCTCGAATGCACGCAAGATGCAATATATGATTTGTTTCAAATTTTAAAAAATGTCTGCTGGAAACAGATTCTCAATTACATGCATATATAGTAATAATATAGATAAATAGCCTTTTACATATGCACAGCTGTTAAATGGTTCTGTCACATTTAAATTATATTGTCATTGCTTTTATACACTTGATATTATATTTGTGAGCTTTCGCATATTGTTTGTAACATTTAATAATATACAGAAAAATATCGATATTCCGTTTTGTTCTTGGGCTATTGACATACATACACGTAAACTGCATTGCTGTTAAATGTTCTGTGACTTCTGCCGCATCTAAGGCGCGCACCGTTTTTTTTGTGTCAAAAATGTGACTGCACTAGTGATAATGATAACTAATAATCATAGGCGTCGAAAGATCGATAAGTGGGGGGGACCATATTCATATATTCGTGTTCACAGACCTTAAAAACAATCGATTTCAAAATAAATTAATAATGCAGAACACGAATATATGAATATGACCCCCCTCCCCCCCCCACTTATCGATCTTTCGACGCCTATGCTAATAATTCCTTGTTAAAAACGAGTTCATCTTCGCAATTATCTTCGTTTTAGATAAATTGCTTTTCTCATCCTTTATGTCATGTTTGTTTAATTAAATGTTATCTGTTGATTGGAAGCATCATATTAAAAAGTTTCAGCCAAGGCATGCGTCTCAACACCAGCTCCTCAATCGTAAAATCACTGCGCGGTCCCTGTAAATATAGTTTCATTACAAGACGAAATCCTTAAAAATCTTACAGTAATGATTTTAGTCAAGTGTTCCTCAGTAACCTTCAAGGCTCAAAATGTTTCTTTTCTATATAAAGTAATCAAAGTTTTTGGGTAAACACTTCTGGTAAAGACCAATCTACACGATACGACAGAATCGGAACCTTACAGAAGGTCGACTTCTTGCTTTTGCCTGTTACATTATTACATTACATTGTTGTTCAGCTCACTTCCCATTGGGGCTTTTCAGTGACCGATTATATCAAGTATTACGCCTACTTATGTTACTTAGCGTAGACTATTTATCTTTTATACAACAATTGTGATTACTTTCTTAACTGTGGTCGTAACCCGCCCTCTTAACTTTCCCTGTGGGAGGAAACCGGAGCGCCCAGAGAAAACCCACGACTTTCGGCAGAGCGTTGACTGACTCTTTTCACATGAGTCCCTAGCGAGAATCGAACCCACGGGCAACCTCGTTCCCAGGCTCTTTACGAGGTTGACCCACGGGCTCAGAGGTGAAAGGCGCTTGCTATGACGACTGCGCCACCGAAGCCCCCTGCCATGAGGAAGTCAGTGCGCTCATGAGAGGCATTCACCCCCCTGAAAATATTCAAAATGGCGGATATTCAGGGGGATGATTGCCTCTCATATTTCGAGTCATTGTTGGTGCATTATTTTACTCACGTTTTCTGAGCCGTCAAAATGTCCGGCTGATGTTTTTTGTGACATCGAGTGTTTGGCAAATATGTACTTACTCCCACGCGACATTACTTGTACGTAATGTTTCAGACGTAATGAAAGTTAGCGCTCCAATCTTGCCGCAACACGTGAGGTTTCAATGTCACTCGTTCTGACTTCAATCGCATTTCTCAACTCGCATGCCCCGATCAAACGAGAGTTGGTGAGAGTTGAACACTGGTTATTATACCGCGCGCGTAGCGCAAACTCTCCGATAAACTCTCATCAAAATTTGAGCCAGTTCAAAGTCAATAAGAGTCGATGAGGGTTGGTTGAGCGAGAGTTGCAGCTCTTATCAACTTCCTTCGTTTGACTGTCACATGACCATAAAGGCCTACACAGACCGGACGCGATTCGGCAACGCGACGCGAATTTTCAGTTTTCAAGAACGAATAAAACCGTCAACGGATAAAAATTTTACAAGATATGCAGGCCAAATAGCTGAAATTGCTTAAGTGGTTCCGAATATTTGAAAAACATAGAAAAATAGTAAAGTTAAATGTCATTGAAAATTGAAAATTTGCGTCGCAATGACGAATCGCGTCCAGTCTGTGTGGACCTAAATTTTCGTCTGCGACGGCGCAGCGACCACTTATAGCATAAAGTAATATCGGTATAGGCCTTTAATTATCAGTGTATAGTGATAATTACTTCATGTGTTTATCTTTATGAGCTCCTTAATGACCTTAAAGTTCTTTCTATGAACATGTATGACAGCTAAATACTATTTCTTGACTTTCTCGCTACATTTTTTTCGCTTTGTTTTTAAGCCCATTTTCCACTAGGCGAATTTGTTCGCGCGAACAATAAAAAGGTAGTAACTGTCCACCTTCTTCGCGCGGCGAATTTTTTTCCTAACATTGCCAAGATTTGTTTCTCGCTTCGCGCGAGCAAACTCGACTTGCGATTTGTTTTATTAACGAAACTTACGTATTGTGCCAGACATCAATTTTACATCAACGTAATTAAACATTTCATGCATGCAAATCGAGTTAATATTAATCTTTTGTATACATTTTAACGTACGAAATATTCAATATATATTACTGTTAATGTTATAGATGTGTATTTTACTATCCGTTCTCAAAGGAACTATATATTGAGTTGACGGTCGAACAAACCGTTGCAAGCTGTGTAAAGCTTAATTATCGACTATTAAGAACTTCACGGTGAAAAAAGCCGTTGAAAAAATTACGCTACTTTTATTTTGATTGGATTGTAATGATGCGCGATGTATTAACATATATTTACGCCGAGTACTAGAACGAAATTTGACAGTTTTTTATTGATCAAAGACTAGTTTTTCACCCATCTCATTTATGTTGCAGTACAATGTTTTCAACCGATATGATGAAATAATTCATTGCATTTATGAAAAAAGTCGGCAATTAAACCTTGCATTCAAAGGCTGTTAAAATTATCAATATATTTGCAATAAGTCCAGTCCAGCTTGTTTTGCCCACGGCCAGCTGCCGTAGCTGTGAAATGCATCGTGGGATATCTACAAAACTGCCCGCCCACGTATATGCATCTGTTGTTAAGACAGAATGTTTTTAAAACCAAAAGCATCGGGTTAGACAAATAGCAGTTAAAACGGACAAGTTAATACTATATTATGATATACCTATAATTTCAGGCTATCGCAATGGGCTGTTCTCCGTCACAGGCTGTCATCGTACAATCCACAAAAACTGAGAACTCCCATTTACACCCGACGATTTTTATGGTCGGTGAGAAAAGTCTTCAAATGCTACGCGAACTGGGGGAATTGAAGTTCTATCAGTTAGCGCAGCATAGCGAGACCGAGAATACCCTGACTGAGAATCCGCACAACGATTTCGCTGCTCAATTGGAGAATCCTTTGCAGTATTTACGAGATGAACAGTCAAAAAGTAGTGGCAATTACCAAGTCACTGAAAGGTCAGTGTGCAAGATCAAGACGGATTATTTAATACATGCTCAAAAACATGAACCTGGGTTAAGCAACAATGGTGTGAATGACCGAGAAAGTAGCGTTGGATTTGATCATTTATTGGGCAATCTGCCAAGTGATTCGGTTAATCAAATATCGACTAAAAATGCAAGCGATTCACCGATTCTGTTATCCCCTAATTCTCTCAGTCATTCTTCGGGTATGGATATCAAAATTACAGCTAAAAACACCAGCAGTTCACCAATTTTACTCTCCGGCACTTCTCCGAGTCATTCTGGGGGTAAAGGTATCAAAATTACAGCTCAGAATTTAAGCCGTTCTCCGACTCACGACAAGACTAAAACCGCACTGTCACCGAACAGCCTTCACAGAGAATTGAATCTTAAGATCAATGACAATGCTAGTACTACCTCGACGACAATCAGTGCAAATGACCCTCTGGATGAGATTGTCTCAGCGCCGGATGCGAGCAGTACGACTCTCGCTCTGACTTCGGCAAATGAGGGTAATGTTACGCCGAAGACAAAAACGAAGATGTTTTTTGGGCGAAATCGCGTAATGCCCAAACGTGATGTTTCAGATAAGTACGATGTACGAACATCGGAACACGAACAGGCTTTTAGTCGTAATGTAGATGATAGCTGAATGTTTAAATAGATTGATCTACGATACTTTTTTACGAGATCGACATGCAAATGGCGAGAGGCCGGTTGTACGAATGATGGACAACGCTATTCACCGGATGATTTTGTATTTATAAATTAAAGTTTCTTTTTGTTGATTGTGAGGTCTGTGTCCGTAGTTTTATGGCGTCTCAAGCAATTTTGAAACGGTTGAAAAAATCACAATCCGATGAATAGCACTATCCGACATTCGTACAAGCGCCTCCAGAGAAATTTGTCTTGTTCCGACACAGACGAATATCAATCTTACCGTCAAGAATTAACAACGCACTCAAATTAGTTTGCGCTCACAAACTTGTATAAGATAGTTAAAATTAACAGTTATAGTGCGATAGTCAATGAAGGATATTAAAATTGTGTATTTTAGAATCAACTCCGCCCTCGACGGGGGCTCGTTGTTGGCCAATTTTTGCCTCGGTAAAATTGGAGATTTGTTGCCGAGGCAGTTAAGAACATTCTCAATATGCCTCGGAGGCAAATTACGAAGCTGTAACTTCTATTTAACTACAAAATAGTGGTTAAAAAGTTGTTAAAAGTTTTTTTATACAATCAACCCCAGACAATCTGCCGCTTTCTGCCCAGTCATCGGCTCATCGCAGACAAATCAGGAGATAAAGGTTGACGTTGTTTTCCGGATCGTTCAAGATCGAAAACCAAACGGCGTATACATTGCAAATACAGCGTGCTGCATGCGCAAATAGAGAGAATAGGAATAACATAAAATTACAAATATTTCTAATGTTATTGTTTAAACAAAAGACTCGATGTTTAAACAGAGTTTTCCTTTTGACAGTTGGCCTGATTGTCAATGACAGATTATCATTCTGCAAAAACAAATTTTCCTTAAAAAGTGTTTTTAATAGCCGTCTGATAGGGCAATATGTATATGATCAATTACTTCCACCATTTCACTGTCCCACGATAACTAATATAAAAAACATTCAAAGTATTAGAACGAAAATTTGTCGGACTCCTCTATAGAAATAGTCCCGAAGGACAAATCGATTACTTTTTGTTTAATTTGGATGAGAAATTAGCAAAAGTTTGTCTGCTTTCCTGGACAGAGTAAACGGCATGCGTTTTAATAGGAAAATATGACGGCTGAGCCGGCCCTCTATTTACGTTTTATTTATATTAGCAGGCTTCCGCAGAGGGGTTTTATAACAAACATATATACTTGCAGGGAGGTGAGTCCGGGAAAAGCCGGTGTTTGGGGGAGCGTGGCGGAGGTGAGACCCAGTGAACAGGTTGAGTCCGGGATTGGACGCACCTCGGGTGGCTGGAAGTTTCCCGAACTCACCTCGCGAACACCGAACCCGCAAGTATGTTTGGTTTTTATCACATGCCATTTCGGTAAAGTACTAAAAAGTACTGAAGAATTTTATACCCATTTTACTTTTTAGTATATAATTTCGTGTTTGGATAACGAACATTTTAGCCGCCAACATACTACGCAAACAAACTTAGGCTTAAATTAAAGCTAAAAATACTCTCTACAATATTCCCTTATTCTTGAAAAGAGAAAATGCACACATTCTGCGAAAACATTGCCAAGATTTATATAAACCCGCCCGTGCCGAACAAATTTCGGCGGCCATCTTTCTTTTCTTCCACTTTGAATACAGGATTAATATTCCATTTTCATCAAACAAAATAAAAACATAATAATTATAAAACAATTAAAAACAGTTAATTTATTTTTTATTTACATTTTCGTCGGAAATTTGTTCAAATCGCTTCATAATGGCCGCCGCCAAAACGTCGATCTCGAACCCACCAACTAAACGTACGTCAGCAGGTGGTTCGAGGTTGAACGCACCTCCTCGTAGCCAATAGGAAAGCCGCTAATACACTAGGTATGAGATAATAGTTTATTACAATTTTGGTTTTACACGCAGGCTGTGTACCCGGAAAATGTAAGGTATTCGGGTAATTCACATTTTTACATTCTTCCCTTGATCCCTCGCGCGCATTCATCAATTATCTGCATGCCTCACATTATATATAATAATAATAATAATAATAATAGTCTTTATTAAAATACTCAGATACATCCGTCTGAGTTTACAATCGAAAGGTAATTGATCTAGTTATATTTACAATTGTAAGTTAAGAAGCGTAAAAAGTTTTAAAAAGTTTTTAATAGATTAAAGTCTAAATAGATTAAAGTCTAAACAAAGTTATACAGACAACGATTTATGAACGACCTTTTGAATCTTTCTGTTCTCACTAGGGGGAGTTCATACTCATGCCCTCTAGGCCTAAGTAACCTACTTCTTTTTTCCGGCAGCAGTTCAAGCAGTGCATTGTTCTCAGTTGATGTTATTTTGTTCCACAGTTTCTTATCTCTCTTATCACGTATTTCTTTAATGTGTGTTCGTTTTGATATATAACCATTCTTATGTGCACGTTTAATGAATTTATCTATTTGGTTCAAATATTTACCGTCGTATGCACAACCCCACAGCTCAATAGCAAAAGTGAATATCGACATAATTAGGCTATCAAACAGCAGATCTAATTGTTTAATTGATAGTCCATAGTATTTGCAAACTCTCATAATGTACATTCGTCCACTTGCTTTTTTGAGCATTTCTTCAAAGTGCAAATCCCAGTTGCACGGGTTATCTTGTAGAGTAACTCCTAAAAGCTTTAGCCATGTTTTTCGCTTAATTGAAGGGATAAGCTCGGGCAAAACTACAGAGGTGTGTCTGCGAACAACCATTTCGTACGTTTTTTCCAAGTTTAAGGGCATTCTATTCTCTTCCGCCCAATCCTGTAAACAGGCAGCTTCAGATCGAGATGTGTCACCACTTTCGTTGCCAGGCACTCCTAACGTCAAATCGTCAGCAAATTTGACTAACGCATTACTAGGATCAGCAGTTTTAATATCATCAACCATTATTGAGAAAAGAACTGGGCCTAAAACAGTACCTTGAGGGACACCACGATTAATATATAAATATTCTGTAACCATTCCATCAACCATTACTCTTTGTATTCTATTTTCTAGAAAGCTAATTAACCAGTTCACCACATACGGATTAATGGGTAGCTTTTTAACTTTTTCAAACAAAAGATCGTGGGGCACACTGTCAAATGCTTTGCTGAAATCGAACGACAGCACTCTAACATAATTAGCGTTTTTATCCAGCCACTCTAGCCATTGATGTTGGGATTTAATCAGAGCCATAGTCGAGTTGTGACCCTTTTTATAAGCAAATTGGTCAGGACCAATGTTATTTCTTGTGATAGGTTCGATTTCAGATTTATACACGCACTTCTCGAATAGTCTCATGATGATGTCCGTCAGAGAGATTGGTCTTAACTGGTTACACGAATTTAATGGTGATTCTTTAGGGAGTGGTAATAAATTAGCGGATTTCCATTTCTGAGGTACTTTGCTGGTTTTTAGTGACATGTTAAAAATTTCTGTGACAATAGGAGCTAATTCAATAGCAAACGATTTCCAAAACCAATATGGCAGATTGTCCGGACCCGATGAAGAGCGTTTTTGATTGCGTAAAAGATGTTGAACTTCATGAATTGACAACGAGGGAATTCTTGTTCCTTCGGAGATTTGAAGAGGCTCGGGAGTCGTATAATTTGGGTCTGTATTCACACTTTGAAAATATTTGTTAATTTCACTAGGGTTAAGAGAAGCACTTACTGATACATCATGTTTCTTTTTTCTCGATGTAATGCTATTTACGTTAGACCACCAACTTTTCGATCCAGTTTTCTGGTTGCCAAACTCCTGTTTGACTGCACTTAATTGATTTTCCCGAATTAACTTGTTGATTTTTTCTTGCAATCGTGTATTTGCTTCAGTATTTCCGTTTTGTATGGCTCTTTTCCTTTGATTCAGAAGGTGGTTCACAAGAGGAGACATGAACGGAGGGTCGCGTGATGACGTTCTGACCTTAATTAGTGGGAAGCTCTTATCGAATTTTGGCCATATTATTTCATAAAATTTTAGGGTTATCTCATCTAGGTTATGGCTATTCATAATTATCGTGTTCCAATCAATAGATTCAAGTTCACGAAGCATATTCAATTGATGATGTTGTCTCACATCTCTGAAATAGGAATTTGTCCTTGTTGCTTTAACTATGTTTCGGGGGTATGTGATAACCATATCATGGTCGGATCTCACCAAGCTTTTTACAACTTTAACAGATTTCCAATAGTTTGGGACATTTGTAATAAAGACATCTAATATTTTTAACCCTCTCGTAGGGGTCTTAACGAGTTGGGTAAATGGAAGTTGATTAAGAACAGATCGAATGTTTAAATTGTTAATGTCACCAGCAATTATTATATTTGAATTCGGTTTAGATAACAATAGTTGTTCGCACGAGTCAATAAGGAATTCGATAAGGTCTTGCTCATTATACTCATAGTTAGGTGGGTGGTAAATAGTTGCAACAAAGAATTCAGAGTTTTGTGTAATAATTTTTGTCCATAAACATTCGAATGGATTATCCAAATCAGGTAGTAGCTGCATTCTCCAATCATTCCTGCATAAGATCGCGACACCTCCTCCTCCACAGTTTGTTCTATCCTTTCTAATGATGGAAAAATTGGGAGGACAAACGAGGGAGCTAGGTATAGTCGGTTTGAGCCATGTTTCGGTTATACAACAAACATCTATGTTATTGCACTTAATGTCTGCGCACAAAGCAGGAAAAGCATCAGGTTTTGCAATAGATCTGGCGTTCAACACTGAGCAACATGGAATTAAGCGTGGTTGACTCGGGGCAGTTTTATTCACTTGCATAGGTCTCAAAGTGCTGCAATGCCTAAGAGATTTTATATAACTGTGCTGTCTTGTGCGTGGAGTAATTCTGACGGGTATCTTATTTAGTTCGGTATCGGGTATCTTATGGGTACCATTGTTAAGGAAGGGACAAACAAACTTGGATGAATCGTAATCACCTGTCAACGCCTGGGCGGTCTTGTGTAATTCGTCATCAGGGGTGAAGGGTACTGATTTGGGTAACTCATTGGGGGCTGTATGGCTGGAGAATAGGGATTTGGATATTGTGACGATATAGGGGTTGGAATTTCCATTAAAGGATTCAATGGGCGGAGATTTCTCCAAGGTTCTCGGTAATAATAATTCTGGTACGGCGGAAATGGGTTGGTGAATCGGTGTGATAAAAAATCAGGAGAAGCATAATCGCCTGGATAGGGCATGGGGGATGAGTTACGTATCAATTTGTCGTGGGAAAAATCACACATCTCTTTCTTCAGACAGTACCCTCTTTTATGCAGAAAAGGACATGGTATATTGCACTTCCGTGTTTCAGATGGTTTTGGGTGTTTAAAGTCGCATCGGTCGCCTTTAAAACATCTACCACGGCGTATGAGAAAAGGGCACGGGACAGAGGATTTTAGAGACGGATTGTATTTGGTTTTTTCCCTTTCGCTGTTAATTGACTGCTGCGATACCGATTTCAAGTTCGAATTTAAGCCTTTATGTTTATTATTTTTATTCTGCTGTTGTGGGAAAAGCACGGCATCATCATTTGTAAGGTCAATGTGATTATTCTTCAAATCGTCGGCATTGCATTGGCTGTTGTCATTATGCCGAATAAGGCTATTGTCATGAGAGGTTTTTAGAGATGGATCGTAACTAATACGGCTATTGTCATGAGAGGTTTTTGGGGACAGATCATATCTAAGTTTATTCCCTTCTATGTTGGTTGACTGCTGCGATTCGGATTGCAAGTTCGAATTTATGCCTTTACGCGCGTTATACTGAAACGCCTCTGGCTCTGGATGGAAAGCTTCGCCCCAAATATTAAAAATAGGTGTTTGTGTGTTGGTGTTATGTACTCAGGTGAATATGATGTTTGTGATGTTACTCTGAGTATGCATCCACACCGGGCAAGCTGAAAAGTTTGCTTGGCCACGGTGGGAATCGAACCCGCGACCTTTGGGATACGCGGTCAAGTCGGTTCGATTCCCACCGTAACTCGAACCGACTTGACCACGTAGCTCAGTTGGTAGAGCATTGGACTAGTATCCCAAAGGTCGCGGGTTCGATTCCCACCGTGGCCAAGCAAACTTTTCAGCTTGCACGGTATGGATGCACACTCAAAAATAGGTGTTTTTCCACAAAACAAAAATAATTTTATTTGGTTTTGCAATGGAACTTATTAGCTAAAATTTGATTAAAATACGACCAATATAGTTTAGATGAATTACTTTTTTTATTTATACGAATTATTTCTATTGTACGTTTGTAAAATTTACGTTTGTATTCCACTGATCTCTCTAAATCAGTGTTCTAATTAAGAAGTTCAGGGGCATGATATTTTTAGACATTGACATCAGCATAAAGTGAGTCGCTTTCCTTCTTGGCTCGGATGTGTGCTTCGGTATTTTCAAAATGGCGGTTAATTTGATCTGTTTCCTCGCCACTGCTCTCCAAATTTGGTAGTTCCTCGCGGATTTTGTCCATGAGTTGATTTAGTATCGTGCTTGTTACCTGGCAACGAGAAAAAATGGCATATTAATGAGCACTTAAATTATCCGACCAAGTATCTTTTCTTTGACCAAGTATCTTTTCTTTGCCCAAGTTTATTTTATTTATACGATTCGCCAGACAATACAAACATACATTTATAACATCGTGACCAGTATAATTACGCGATGGCAGGGACTGACCACAGAGATAAACTCTCCAATAAGGGACGGACCATTAGAGGATTTTCTAAGAGGCAATATATTTTTTTGTACACCTATAGAAGAAATGTTTTTCTCACTTGATGGCTGGAAATATTTTTTTAAGTGAAATTTATAGGCTTATCTTCCAAGTTAGGAATTTTTTTTGCACTATACCTGGGAAGATTTTTTCCCCCTAATTTTTTTCTGGTTTTTCCCCCCCCCCCATCACTTTTCTAATGGTCCGTCCCTAACGGGTCCCAACAAGAAATTAAAAATAAAACGTTGTGTGTCGGCCAATCACATTTTACAACATTTTCTTTCTACGGAAAATTGTCCTGAGTGGAAATGGTCCTTGACAGAATCTGGTTAATAGCTATAATTTCTCAATAAAATCCCATAGAGCAATCTTACCGTCTCACAACCGCTTTCGTAATATACCAAGTATCGGTTGAGTATTTCAACAAACAGCTGTACTTGAAGTGTGGAGTCCATACATTGATTCGCGATACGTAGTGCTTTCTTCAAGCATTCCATCACGCGTTTCTCATTGCCACGCTAGAAGATATATAGAAGCGAAGTTTAGATATTAGATATACTACTAAATAAGAAATATTTTCTTTGTTCGAGTCTTCGCAATCGTCATAGACAAAAGATTGTAGCACTTCCACGGCAATTTTTTGTCCCAAAATGACAATTGGAAGATGCATTTTGTTCATAGCAAATGGGTTTTTCGAAACCTGAAATAGTGTTGTTTAAAATGTCTCCATCAGATTCTTTTACAGCACAAGGTAGTAACAAAAACACCAGAGAACTGTAGATGACTACTTGAAAAATACAAGTTAAACTTCGAAGTTTCGAACGAAGGCCCTTCGTCGTAGGGCTACTAAAACCGGTTTTCCACTAGCGAATTTTCTCGCGCGAAGCGACCTTTTTCCTTTGTCGGTATCATTTATTACGTCAGCAAGACGTGGCAAAATGGATGCCGACAAAGGAAAAAGGTCGCTTAAAACCGGCTTAAGGAACTTTCCTCGAAACGTCGAAGTTTTTGCTTGTATTTTTCAGGTATAGTTGAATCCTACCTATCTACTGTACAGTTCTCTGGTATAGTGAATAATAAGTGTTTGATGACCATTTGCAAGAAACTGCGTCGATACTTTCATTTGCGGCGACAACAGTCGCGGGCCTGTTATTCCCAGGCTACGACAATAGCAAATAGGGCATTGGTAAGGTGACTGAGTATATTAGAGTTACGTACACGAATTATTTACTCGTATATCTATGCTTTCTCCTATTACTCATGACCAGTCCTACCTCTTTCTGCTCTCCATCAGAACTCTTGGCAGACCAAAACAGATGTGAACACACGCCGACTGCTCGACATTGATCAGGTTTCTTTAGCAACTTGGCCGCCGCCAGCGCACACTGCGTTCGCAGTGGCTCATGGTTCTCTTCACCGAAACACGTCATCTTTTCAAACGTACCCATTATTAACGTTATCGCGGCGAGTTGAGCCCGCGAGTCACTGACCTCGTCTTCGTACAGTGAAAAAGCCTGGAATAAAGTGCAAAGCATGTTAAACTGAACTACTCTATTTATACTGGATAGCTCTCCCTAAAACATCAACACGCGTAGAAACGCACAAGTTGTAACAAACCTGCAGCAGGCTTGTACCAATGCTGTTTCAACAACTTGTCAACAGGATGTACTGCTTGTTCCCAGCTTGTTGACAAGTTGTCAACGGCTTGTTGAGAACTTGCTACAAGGTTGTTGAGCTGCACTTGTTACAAGTTGTTCCAACGACTTGTTATCGTCCTGCAATTTGTCAACAAGTTTGAGTGAAAACCTTGCAGCAACTTAATTGATAAAATGACAACATTGTTACAACTTGTTAACGAGCCTGCTACAAGCCCGTCATGTTTTACGTGTGTTTGGTGAACACTGCAAAACTGATAGAGTTATACAGTATACATGAGTAAAGTTAATTCGTACGTTATATAATAACTTCAGTATTTTTAAGATACTTTGATTGTGCTGTATATTGACAATCGTTCAGTGTTTTGTTCATGAATTCTGAAGCATTGTTACCTGACTCATAAATTCATAAGCGACAGTCTCAGCGTTAGAGAAGCCATGTTTATCAGCCGTCAGAGCGCCCTGCAGGTAAAGTCTCAAGGACAGCTCTCCGTATTCTGACTTTGCAAGTGCTCCGATAGTCTGGTGACAAAACTGGAAAATCTTTTGACATTTCTTATCCCATTTTTCATCCTAAGTATTGAACAAAAAAAAATAATATTAATATTTGAGTATAGAATAAACCAATTTATACTGGAGACAGATAACTAGTGCGTCTGGACAAAATTGGGCAAAGAAATATAGCTTGTCTGATAACTGTCTGTATACAGTGATACTGCTATAATTATATTGATGAAAAGTGAAAGATATGTACATTAAGTACTGTGAATACATCTGTTTAAAGTAAGCAATAGCTAGCTATACAGTGCACACTGTAGTTTAAATTAGTTTTTCGACGAGACAGTGCGTGAAAACTTCCTGTCACGACAAAATATGCCCCAGTCTCTTCTATTGCGCTTGCTGCCGGGCCACAATACAAATATATGTTTGTATTTTCAATATGGCTTCTTATATTATTATAATATTATGATATTTACTTTATCTGGCACTAAGTGACTAGTGAGAAGTGTCGCGCACCACCCAATTGGTGCCTGACAAAGTGTCAGGCACCTTTGAAAAATATATTTTCAAGCTTGATTTAGACAACAAAATTCAAGGAAATATGTCGACTTTACTTCAAAGTCATTGACAATGACTTTGGAATAAAGTCGACATATTACCTTGAATTTTGTTGTCTTGTTAAAATAGCTCGAATCGTGAGCATACAGCTATTTCAATTAAGGTTGTCCACGAGCAAAGCGGAAAAGTCGAATACGAGCGCGAAAGGCTGCTGGGAATCGCTAACAAATTAATGAATTTTCAAAACGATTCCCAGCAGCCTTTCGCGCTCGTATTCGACTTTTCCGCTTTGCTCGTGGACAACCTTAATTGAAATAGCTGTATACAAGATGTTAATATGGTGTTTCATTTTAAATTACCATGAACACTTGTTACCTTATCTTCCAATTCATTATAATCAAACGCCAGCTGATAAGCGGCAAATATCACAGGAGGTAAAGTATACTTAATCCTCTTTTCTCCTCCACTACCAAAGTGTTTTCTTGCCGCATTTAATATCTATAACGTACAATTGAAGCTTCAAAAATACACGTACCATATAATTACCAGGTTTCAATAAGCGAAAAGGAATAGACATGCATTGTGCTACGTTGTGACATTAAAACTAAAATTACCAGATACTGTTGATCAAGACTGTCCGCATGGAACAAATTAATGAACCGTCCCATTAGGCTTTGTTCATCGGCAAAATCGTCAGCATCATCCTTAAAGTAGATAAAAGATCAGAGAACATCCTATAATGACGTAGTATTTATTTATTTATTTATTAACTTTACAACCATACTTTTGTACTATAAAATTATTACGGAAAAAACTGAGCAACACTTAATTTAAATATGGTTGAAGGTAATGGTCAACAGCACACGAGTCCCATGTGAAGACCAAGGATTACAACACTATTTACCTAGTTATATAAAATATACAGTACGACAGATTAAGAGTAACAGCTTAAGTTGAAAGAACGGCGTTTAGAACAGGTTTTCCAAGTTTACATTCTGTTTATATCAAAAGAAGAATCTAATTGAGAAGAGTGCTGAATATAGAGTTGAACTATTACGAATATAGAGACGAACTATTACGAATGATCAGAGATAGATTGTTCCATATACAAAGACAATTCGGTTGAAGAAAGAGTTTCTAAATATTTTTCAATAAAACTAAACTATCTTTAATGGATAGCTCTATCAGTTCTAAACTAGTTCTAAACTGTTCTCCCTATTGGACAGTCTATTGGTCCAGTATATATAAAGGCCAATCCCTTATTTATCCAGAGAGATTGCGCTGTTTGGTAGACTCAAACTGGAAACACTCTTACAGCATTCGACACTACAAACAGACAGCATCATATTGTAGAAACTGAACATGGTCACAGTGGCGAAAGTGTCATGCACCATAAAAAACAACGGCGTCACCAACAGTCCACATTATTCTGTTCAAAAAGAAACGTTCAATGTTTGTCCATAAAGATGACAAAATGACTCACGGGTTCGGCCGGCTGATCTTCCTGATCAACTACCAGAGGGGAGACCATGGATAGAATATTATCAACCAATTCCTGTGATGTAATAACCGTCTCATTTTCTACCGCGTTTGTCACAACATATGTAGCCATGTCTTTTCTGGCACTGTAGTCGAAGTAATCAAACAACGGCGCGAAATGTTTAAGTTTCAGCAAGTTCAAGACATTGTTGTAGGAATCCACGGGGATTTTTAACAGTCGAGTCAATTCGCGTGACACTGCGTTGTTTTTCTCTACGCTAAAAATAAACAACAATTATACCTATAATTATCACTACTATATAGCGACAATTTGGAATAGATGAAAAACTTTAACTACAATCATGGCACAAATTCCATGTAAACGTAAGTATTAGAGGTATGCAAATCCGATCCGAATCCAATCCGATTCGTTCGGATTTCGGAACAAAAATATTCATTTCGGATTGGATCGGATTGATAAAGTTGTTTTGTAGTCGGAACGGACTTCGATATTCGAAATAAAATGAATTAATTATCCAGAATCATGCACTTTGTCCGCTTCTTGACATGTATTTCCTGCTTTTATATTTCTTTATCAAAACTCGGATCGGATTCGGATTAGACAATTTCGGATCGGATTTTAAACATTAGCCAATTGTCGGATTATAAACGTCCAATCCGATCCGATGCACACCTCTGGCAAGTATTACTGGTCACACACACACACACTTGTTGGCGTCTTTGTCTTCCCCGCTCCCCCCTATAATGTTGGTTTTGACATGCATTTCACAAAACTTTAACCTAACCAATTTTATAAGCTGTCAACATTGAACAGGAAGGGGGGAGGGGGATGAGTAGTACAGTCATAATTCATAAATACACTGATACATATATGCAGTACATGCATACGTCATATAGTTGGCTTTAATAGGGGGCTACATTAGTAGTAGTGTATGTGGTTTTCGACCCTTATTTTTGAGGAGGAGTGAGGAGGAGTGAGGAGGAGTGAGGAGGAGTGAGGAGGAGTGTGGTGGAGTGAGGGTGCGTAATGACGTCACGCATTAACATACGTCATAATTATATGCAATGACGTCACGCGGGCAGGTTTAAACACGATCGGGCGAAACTTGCTGACTACGCATTTTTTAGCGTCCCTCCACGTTTATGATACAGCTCTAGCATTTTGCTGTGATTGTCAAGTGATTCCTTTAATTTAGCTCCTAGAGGAGTAAAAAATCTGATACTATATGAAATAGCATTAGTGTTATATATCTAAAACTTATATATTCGGGGTATACAGCTATATGTTTTGTTGTTAAGTAATATATAAATATTATCAAGCGTCAAAACGCTGAGAAATAGCATGCGGTAAGAGTTATGTATCTACAATTAAGCTAATATTTAAATCCCGGTCTGCCATATGAGGTCTATATACGAGAGAATATGTTGCTGTTTAGAGTTATATAAACACATGGAAATTAGAGGTTATGATATATAATTGTCAAGGGATTTCTATATTTTAGTGTAGTTTTTTAAAGTACTAAAACTCGGATAAGGTTAATAAATTTAAGCTATATTAAAGCACACCGGTTGCTATGTGTTGTTAGGGTGAAACTAATTAAAGGATTAACTTTTATCAGAGATTTGCATTTTTCTACTGTGTGGATAAATACGGGTAGATTAGGATATTCATTGCGCGGGCGTCGCGGGTTATCCGTGCGGGAAGAGAGAAAGCGATTTAGACAAGACAGGAGCGCTTTGCAGCCAAAAGTTGAAAGACTTTGTATGGAATCCTGTAATGGTTGTCAAGTCGGTCATCCTAGTCAAAGACAACATGACTGCCGCATGATGAACGAAAACGAACGAGGGCAAATAAGGAATCTATTCGTCACAAAAATCATATTTTAAACATATTTTAGACATATTTTAAACTAAACAGTTCCTAATCCCGAGTTGTCAACGTCGTTGTTAAGGTCAATATTTACATGTTGTTCAACGTTATTTTAGCAAATATTCTACATACATATATACTGTTAAGATGATCATAAGTAAGCTTATCAAGAATATAAGTTAGAATTGGAACAGTTGTAAGATATTTTGCGATAAAAACATGTAATCGTTATATACGTTGTTATTTGTTGCTAAGTCATTAGCGACGCTTGCGTGCATGCATATATTAACGTACAACATATTTGTACACTAATCAGGCGGGCGGATCGCGCGGGCGGAAAGAGCGGGCTTTGCCGGCAAAAATTTACACAATATTTCAGTTTTTAAATTTATTTCTTCAAAACGTTTTACAAAATTATGTTTCTAATATATATCGTCACTTGTTTCAAGGGTTTCGCTGTCAGATTCTTCATCATAGCTGCTTTCATCATCGTGGCTGCTTTCATCTTCCGTAATCCATTTGGTATGTCTTGGGACTGTTATATGAGAACACAGTTTTAACCTCTTTGTAGTTGATAAATTACTTCGTTGGCCCTGCCTTCTCTTGCTTCCGCGCCCTGCTTGTTGTAGTAGGGCTTTTGCTCCTTTTTCGGCAAAGTCTTTAAAAACGTCACCTCCGTGAGTCTTTACAGATTCTCGGACATTTTTTCCTTGGAGTACATCTTGACCCACTTCTGTGGCTGCTTGCAATGCTCTTTTGCCAACAACTTTAGCGCCTTGTTTGAACAGAGGGATAGCATATCTCGCAAGGCTCTTGAAAATACTTCCGATCCCGTATCCTCTTTGAAAACGTGCACCACGATACCCAGCGATGTTTCCGCCACGCTGCTGTCTCAAGAAATGGTCTCTCAGTAGTTTTTCGTCTACAACAAGTGTACCTCTCGGCATGTTGATGTGTTCAGTTCAACTTCACGCAGTCAACTAATCAAATATCACTTTGGTCGCCTATTTTATGGTTAATTTAATTAAAGGACTGCCTTTCATCCGTTCTGATATCTATAATTTCACCTCGGCGACAATGTGGGCAGCTGGTGATTACATGTGTAAAATCTCCTTTGGACACTTGAAAATCACAGATCATACAGCGACAGTTTTTACAATTCGGATAAAAATCTGTCCATGTGCATACGGGGCACGTACTCAAATGGGAGATGTATATATCTTTGTTACAACTGTTACAAGTTGCGTCAGCATCAGATTGTGTATACTGACGGGACCACTTGTGGGCTAACACAGAAAGGACATGTCCATTTAAGATTAGGCTTTTATCAATTTCCAATTCTGCAAGACCTTTTATAAAAATGCTCAATCCAGTTGGTTCGGGAATATCTGGATGATAAGGCGTCACGCAATATTTCAGAAGGTCTACAATGTCAGTGCCTCGTATATTATGTCCTCTGTAAACGATTTCTCCTTTTCCATTCCAATTCAAAATCCCCGTAGAGGTTAAAATAGAATGAAGGATTTCTTCGGCTTCGTGTTCATCATCAACGTCAAGATATTTGAGAATGTCTTCAAGTCTCCACTGTTCAGGAGATGATCGTTTGTCGCTATCCATGATTGGAATGAGGAGATGCCCTTCATGCTTTTTATTTTATACTAATTCTGCAAGGCCTTCTAAAAGTGGTCCAAGTACCAATCCCAGAAAGCCGCTTCCCCGCTGAACAAGAATTTCCTTTTTCGTCTTAAAATTTCTATCTCTGTCTGCTAAATCAGCTAGATCTTGTTCGAAAGGTCTGAGTTTGTCCTTTGTTTCTTTGGAGTATGTGAAATTTTCTATACAATGACACAAGCATCGAATTTGCTCAGCTGATGTAGAATTAAGAAGAGCTTGCTGTTGAGTTGGATGAGAAGTACATAAGAGTTCTACAAATGGTCTGTGTTTCATATAACTGCTAGTCATCTCTGTTCGGCGGTCAGCAACGGAATGAAGATTTAGTTGGAAATAACACATATATAAGGATCGGCTCGCCCTCTATAGATTAGGTCTAGACAATAGTCTTCATAGTCTTTACTATAGTCTTTCATAGTCTTTACTATAGTCTTTCATAGTCTTTACTATAGTCTTTCATAGTCAGGACTATAGTCTTTCATAGTCAGGACTATAGTCTTTCATAGTCTTTACTATAGTCTTTCATAGTCAGGACTATAGTCTTTTATAGTCTTTATTATAGTCTTCGTAGTCTTTACGATAGTCTTCGTAGTCATGACTATAGTCTTTCATAGTCAGGACTATAGTCTTTCATAGTCAGAACTATAGTCTTTCATAGTCTTTACTATAGTCTTCGTAGTCATGACTATAGTCTTTCATAGTCAGGACTATAGTCTTTCATAGTCAGGACTATAGTCTTTCATAGTTAGACTATAGTCTTTCATAGTCAGGACTATAGTCTTTCATAGTCTTTACTATAGTCTTTCATAGTCTTTACTATAGTCTTTAATAGTTAGGACTATGGTCTTTCATAGTTAGGACTATAGTCTTTCATAGTTAGGACTATAGTCTTTCATAGTTAGGACTATAGTCTTTCATAGTTAGGACTATAGTCTTTCATAGTTAGGACTATAGTCTTTCATAGTCGGGACTATAGTCTTTCATAGTCGGGACTATAGTCTTTCATAGTCAGGACTATAGTCTTTTATATAGTCAGGGCTATAGTCTTTCATAGTTAGGACTATAGTCTTTCATAGTCAGGACTATAGTCTTTCATAGTCAGGACTAT